GAATCTGTAACGATATTGTTATCGAAGAACAAGCGCAAGCTAAACAGCATTAATCTCAAAACCGCAGTGAACGTGACAAAGAAAGTTTGTCACGTGACAAAGAAGTTAACCCTAAGCCACTTTGGGAAGATTTTTGTTTCGAAGCAGCCCTTAGAGAACCGTATCCGGTTGGAAAGCAACTTTGAGCACGACTTTTTTGGGGGTCTTTCTCAGTAGAAAATTTCCCATATAGGTTGTTGCGGAACATCTGAAAAGGTAGTCCTTTTTGGCTCAGACTGGTCTCCCTTTTGGATTAAAACTCTAATGTTCTGGCTAGTATCCCCGTAGACTGCATAGTTGTGGTTCTGTCGACGATTCCAAGCGGGTCGCGTCTCAGCAGGGGTGCTGCGACGAAAGAATCCCCGCGTGCATATGCGAGTCGTCTCCGCAAGGGCTAGCCTCCCACGCAGGCGTTTTATAGGGAGCTCGTTTTTCATCCCTCCCCACAAACGCCTGCTTTGCCTGCATTTATCGAAAGTCGTTTTAGGGCATGATCTCAAGGCTGCTGTTCACACTATTATAAATTAATAGTATTATGGTATTTTTGACCACGTGACATTTATTCCGAGAATTAGAAAACGAAGTTGGCTGGGACTTTTCCCTTGGGTGACCGCATGATCAGTGGGAGTTATCCCTTTCTCGGAAAGACGAGAAACGGGCACGTTACATAGCAATGATATTTTACGCTTCACTGAGAATATTGACCGAACTACGATTTCGTCTTTGGCCCACAGAACTTCAGGTAACCAAAAAAACGTATTTGTACAACGTAAAGTTTTAAAATTTAAGTATTTAAAAAACGCTAAAAGACTGAATAGACTGCGCTCATTTCTGTTCAGTCTCCTTTACAAGCGAAAGTTTAATTGTAAACGTATAATAAAGAGCGTTAGTTTAGTCTTAATTATTTTTTGGTTAATGCCGTTTAAAAACTAGAATCATTGCTGACGAGGCCGTTCGACAGACGAACAGCACGAACCAAGTTTGATTGCAGTAACACATTCTAGACCAGTGTGTCTAGACGAAAGATTGCTTTCCAGCGCCCGAGTAGAATTCGTAATCAGAAGCGCAGAGCTTTAATTTATGGTCTACTTTAACGGCGTTGCGTTGTTTTGTACGACGCCGTCGCTTATACATCTTGAGACCTTTGGAGTCGCAAGTAGAGGCTGAATAACTAAACCAATCACAATTTGAGTAAAAGAGCATGGTGATTGGTTTATCCTTCCGCTTCTACTTCTGACTCCGATAGTCTAGTTTTCACTAGATCGTGAGTTATAGTTATAAGCAGAGTCAGGAGGAAACTAATGATTCCAATCTTGTGTCTGTGGTTTTTGATTTTCAATGGGCCGTAAGGAGTCTTAATACTCTGACTCTGACTCCGATTGCGACTCCATTGCTTGGGAAAATAAGCGTTAGGCCTAGTTCTTGCGTCGTGCTTTGAATTTTATAATCGTTATACTACAACAACAGAAGCATAAAGGAAGCATGACTTTAACTGAGACATTGTGCCAGAGTGGAACTTATTATTGTGTACTTAGAATCAAGTCGTCGATAACTGAAACAAAAAACATACGTTTCTGACATACATGAAGTTTGAAACAAATTAAGCATGAGGATTAAACCAGCTGTCATCTGGAGTTTTGTAGCACCAGCATGCAAAGAAAGTGTGGTGTCAGATGCCCGAGGCTAGTGGATTTTGCTACCGGGCTAGTGAATTCTGTTATTAACTTGCCCAATGGGGAAGTGAAGGGTTTTTAGGAATTCAAGTTACAGAAGAACTGTGAAATTAATCTGCTCATCAAAACGTTTTAGGGGCTAGTTGAAATGATGTTTGAGCTAGTAAATGTTAGCTTCAGCTTACCCGAATGGCAAGCTGTAGCAATGACTTTCTTTGCACCCTGAGCACAGCAGTGCTTGCCAAACTTAATGCTCTACTGAACATAATTTCAGGGCTCTCAGCAGGATTTGAAGTATAGCCATCTGCCAAGCCTTTAATAGGCAGTTGTGACAAACAGAGGGTCCGTAAACTAGAGAGGGAAAGGCAGCAAATAGAATGCAAAGTAAGCAGCTACAAATTCCAAAGTAGGCGGCGATTAATCTCCAGGTGCCGCCTTCTATTGAGGACCCTGTAATTTAGACAAACTCTGATTCAGACATTGTGCTTCTGTCTGCTTTGTCGAACTTAATTCAAGAATTACATTCAGCATAGCAGTAGCGTTACATATATAGCTTTGCATTGCCTTAATGGCTTGCGTCATTTTCTTGCAATTGTGGACATGTGTAAGTTAATTGCAAGTAACTCGTTGGTATAGCAGTTGTGTTTCATAAAAGTGATGATTTACATTTTGTATTATCACCCAAGGTGAAGCCAGGTCAAGCGCACCGCTATTAATGAATTAATTATTTGAAGAACTAATCCGTTAGTAGTTGCTCTAGCTATAGTCAAATTCAAATCTGTTTTCCTGCTTGTGTAATATGTAGTGAATGTTTCACAACAATGTGTCAATATTCGGTCAGATTGGAAAATCTTTGTATGGATAAAATTATTATGAATAACAGTATCCACTATGAAAACAGTTACCGGTTATGTCAAATTTAAGAAATTTGTAGTGACAACAATCTCAACTACCTCGTGTGTTAATGCTCATGAAGTGTGGAGAAAGTTAGAGATGAATCTGAACTCTACAACTACTAAAGGCTGGTTTTCACTATCAACAGAGTCAGAGTTGGAGTCGTAATCAGAAGCGTAGAGCTTATGATTTAGTGAAAACAGCGTTCCAATATTTATTCCACTTACGACTTCATGGCTTACGTTCCGCTTATGATCTTGTGAAAACCACATTGTCGGAGTCGGAAGCCGAAGCAGAAGGTTAAATTAATCACAAAGCATGTTCCCACACTTTGTGATTGGTTTAGTTTTTCCGCTTCTGGTTCCAACTCCAACAATCTGGTTTTCACTAAATCATAAGTGAAACATGAGTGACGGAGTCGAAGTATAAGACAAGCATGATTTTAACTGAGACGTTGTGCCAGAGTGGAACTTATTATTGTGTACTTAGTATCAAGTCGGCGATAATGGAAACAAAAATCATACGTTTCTGAAATTTATGAAGTTTGAAACAAATTAAGCATGAGGATTAAATTACCGCCACCTGGAGTTTTGTAGCACAGCAGGGCTTGTCAAACGTAATGCTCTACTGAACATAATTTCAGGGTTCTCATTAGGATTTGAATTATAGGCATCTGCGAAGCCTCAAATAGGCAGTTCTGACAAACAGAGGGCCTGTAAACTGGAGAGGGAAAGGCAGCAAATAGAATGCAAAGTAGGCAGCTACAAATTCCAAAGTAGGCGGCGATCAATCTCTGGGTGCCGCCTTCTATTGAGAACCCTGTAATTTAGAAAAACTCTGATTCAGACATCGTGCTTCTGTCTGCTTTGCCGAACTTAATTCAAGAATAATTACATTCAGCATAGCAGTAGCGTTACGTATATAGCTTTGCATTGCCTTAATGGCTTGCGTCATTTTCTTGCAATTGTGGACATGTGTAAGTTAATTGCAAGTAACTCGTTGGTATAGCAGTTGTGTTTCATAAAAGTGATGATTTATGTATTATCACCCAACGTGAAGCTAGGTCAAGCGCACCGCCATTAATGAATTAATTATTTGAAGAACGAATCCGTTAGTAGTTGCTCTAGCTATAGTCAAATTCAAATCTGTTTTCCTGCATGTGTAATGTGTAGCGAATGTTTCACAACAACGTGTCAATATTCGGTCAGATTGGAAAATATTTGTATGGATAAAATTGTTATGAATAATAGGTTCCACTATGAAAACAGTTATATCAAATTTAAGAAATTTGTAGTGACAACAATCTCAACTACCTCGTGTGTTAATTCACAGCTCATGAAGTGTGGAGAAAGTTAGAGATGAATCTGAACTCTACAACTACTAAAGGCACATTTTCACTAGCGACGGAGTCAGAGTCGGAGTCATAATCAGAAGCGTAGAACTTATGATTTAGTGAAAACAGCGTTCCAATTCTTCTTACGACTCCTCCACTTACGTTCCGCTTATGATCTAGTGAAAACCAGATTTGACAGAGTCGGAAGCAGAAGCAGAAGGATAAATCAATCACAATGCATGTTCCTACACTTTGTGATTGGTTTAGTTTTTCCCGCTTCTGCTTCCGACTGCGACAATCTGGTTTTCACTAAATCATAAGCGGAACGTATGTGACGGAGTCGTAAGTGGAGGAGAAGCATAAGAGAAGCATGATTTTAACTGACACGTGGTGCTAGAGTGGAACTTATTATTGTGTACTTAGTATCAAGTCGGCGATAATTGAAACAAAAAACATGCGTTTCTGAAATTTATGAAGTTTCAAAGGAATTAAGCATGAGGATTAAATTACTGCCACCTGGAGTTTTGTAGCACAGCAGTGCTTGTCGAACTTAATGCTCTACTGAACATAATTTCAGTGGGTTTTCAGTACATGGATTTGAATAATTGTAGGTATCTGTCCAGCTTAAGGAGGTAGTTGTGACAAACAGAGGGCCTGTAAACTGGAGAGGGAAAGGCAACAAATAGAATGCAAAGTAAGCAGCTACAAATTCCAAAGTAGGCGGCGATCAATCTCAGGGTGCCGCCTTCTATTGAGGACCCTGTAATTTAGACAAACTCTGATACAGAGTGCATACGTAATGAGTAGCGAATGTTTCATGACAACATGTCAATATTCGGTCAGATTGCAAAATCTTTGTATGGATAAAATATTGTTAAAAATAATAGGCTCCAGTATGAAAACAGTTATATCAAATTTAAGAAATTTGTAGAGGGTAATATCTCAACTACCTTGTGTGTTAATTCACAGCTCATTAAGCAGGCAGAAATTCAGAGATGAATCTGAACTCTACAACTACTATAGGGTGGTTTTCACCAGCGACGGAGTCAGAGTCGGAGTTGTAATCAGAAGGGTAGAGCTTATGATTTAGTGAAAACAGCGTTCCAATTCTGCTTACGGCTCCATTGCTTACATTCCGCTTATGACCTAGTGAAAACCAGGTTGTCGGAGTCGGAAGCAGAAGCAGAAGCAGAAGGATAAACCAATCACAATGCATGTTCCCATGCTTTGTGATTGGTTTAGTTTTTCGGCTTCTGCTTCCGACTCCAACAATCTGGTTTTCACAAGATCGTAAGCGTAACGTAAGTGACGGAGTTGTAAGCAGAGTCGGAAGAAATGGAAATGTTCTGATTCTTCTGACCCGGATTCTGTCGCGCTTATGACTCCGCTTACGACTCCGACTCTGATTCTGTCGCTAGTGAAAACCAGCCTTAATAAATTCAATTTTCAATTAATCATTTCATCAGTATAATCTTGGGGGGCATTCTTCACCTGGCTTGACTGTAAAAAACAAGAAATTTACTGAATATCTGTTACTTGTGTTCCTCTTTTTTACAATGCAATATTATTTTTATAAACAGTTACAGGACTCTAATCTGTCATGCTATTAACTGGGGTGAAAGACTAAAAATAGTCTGCCATAATCTTCTAATTAAGTTGTTCTTTGCACTGCAGTACTTTAATCTGGTATAGGAAGCTTAAGCAGTTCTGGCAGGAGAAACAATGACAGCATCTAAAGCTGAACATAAGCTTTTGTCCACTCTTTTACTCTTGTAATGGAAAGTTTGATCCAAAACGTAAGATTTTAAGTAAAGTTGGTCATTACTGGCAATCTTGAAGAAAACAAAAAGAAAAGAAATATACAGCCAGATCAAGAACTTTTCTAAAATAACTTGCTGATTTACTTCTTTATCTTTAGATTTGTTTGTTATGTTAACAACTTAGTTAACTGTTGACAGTGATTTTGTCAGCAGTTGTACATGGGTGTGTTGTAGGGAGAATCCATTGTGATGATAAATAAGTATTCAAACTAGTTTGATTCAGAATTTCCTTGTTTCCTAGCCCAGAATATTCCAAGGAAATTCTGGTTTAATCTGTGAATAGATTTTTCCAACCACTCATGTTCTACCCTGTCTTAAGGATGGAGTCCTGTTTCTTGTTTGTTAATGTTGTCCACTTCCTTGACCAATACAATACTAAACCTTAAGAAACTAACCCTAATCAAACCCATAGTCATGGGTAGTCCCCTTTGTGGATAATCAATTTAGATCTAGAGCTCAAAGACACATATCGGTTATTGCTCAAGTGTTCAAACATTACAATTTTTCAATAAGCTTTATTATTTTAATGGTGTAGTTTTGTTTTCTCCATTGATTGATACCTGTTATAATGCTAACCCACTGAAGTAGAATTCATCCTTTAACCGCAAGTTTATACTTCACTGATTTAAGTCTATAATTCAGTAAATTATATGTATATTTTATGGCAAATACTTTTACATATTTGAACAAGGAAGTAAAGATGATATGTGATTCCAAAAGTGACACATCTGCAACTAGACAGAATTGTGCTGCAACACTGAGATGTTTAAGCATTGTGGGTAAAGTGATTGTATGCTTAATGATTCTTATAGATTCTAATCAAAATAATCCCCTACCTTGATAGAATGTGAAGGAAATTTCACATAACTTAACAGCACCATATATCATAAGGGTTACCGTTTCAAGCAATATTCAATGATGATTTAGTCAAATACTTGTAACACAAATAGCAAAGGCAAAGATTGAAACTTCATGTACGCTGATTGAGAAGTTAAGAATCGTGAGTTTGCAGAGGAGGAGTTGCTGACTAAGCTGGAAAGGATGCCTTCAGGGAAGTTAGGAATTAAGTAGAAAATTTAACCCTTTAAACCCTAAGATTAAAAATTACTCATTTGTTTATTCATTTGTTAGTGGGCCTGTTTGCAAATTCAGAATGGAATAAACTCTGTTTTCATTCTTTGAGAAATTTTGCTGATCACTCTTAGGGCTTAAAGGGAAATAATATTTTGTTATGAGCCAGAATGGAATAAACGTTTCATCCTTTAAATTCACGAAATAATAATATTTTCACATACACTGACTAATTTAGTGTTTGTTTTTATTTTAATGTACTGTTAGAAGAGTATTAAGTCTTCATTCCATTTTATTCTATCTATTATTATTGATATGGTACTGTAAATCATTCTGATAAATTCTTTTCTCTTTTACTGTGTGTATTGTATCCAATTATTTTGTTTAAACGTTATTGTATAAAACAACCTTAGTTATTCTGTAAATATTTTGTGTGAGTTGAATAAAAATTGTCTTGACTTTTCTTATTTGAATTATTATGCAGGTGGGAACAGAATCAAATATGATTTGAAAAGACATGTAAAAGGCAGCAGTCTATTAACCAAAGATGGCAGATGATAGTTATTCAAGACAAAGAATTCCTTTACCAAGAAGTAACTTCACTGGCAGAGTTATTGAGTCAGTTGAATTACAACAAAATGTATCATCATCTGGTCCTGGTACACCCAATGTATACTCATGGGGTGCACCACCTCGTTATGTTCAAGGACCACCCGCTACCGAATCAAGACCTCAAGTTACGGGTTATAGTACCTATGAAGTCATGTCACCAATGCAAAGTAAGTGTCATCCAAGGCTAAAAAATGTGCTGTCCAATCATCCAGGACATGTAAATTTTCTAGCTGGGCAAGTAACTTTTCATTCTCACTAGCTCAGTGTGTGAGGGCTGTCCAAGTCATCTTCTAACTGAATCAAAAACTAACATCTGTCAGGGCTCAAAAAAAGTCTCATCTGGTATTCTGGAACAAGTAGATTTTCTTGCTGGGCAAGTAACTTTTAAAGCTTACCTGTCCAATAGGCAAGGCTCCAAGCAAGTCATCCTCTAACAGGCAGTGGCTCTAGGCAGGCAAAATGTAAGAGCTAATCTTGCCCAAAGAATATGCCAGAATTTAAGTTTTTTTCAAGCCCTGTCTATGTTCAGCCTAGGCAAAAAATAATAATCTGAGGATGCCTTGTCTGAAGGACAATGTGGAATTTAAGTTCTTTCAGCTCTGTGTAAATGACGGAGTGTTTTACTTCTGGGTTGATTAAATTCATAATCAATTGCTAACAGTCAATGCTGAGTATGGTACATCAGAAATTCTTCCATTAGACTACTGCATTCCTTCTTGCCTAATCTTTCCATAAACTTAGTGATATTATGCTCTGGGCATGGGAGGCAATATTGGCTTGCTTCCATCACAAGTTCAATTTTGATCCATTTTTGTTCTCTTTGAAATGTATTAAGGAGTCCCATCATAGCTTGTTGCTGTCATTTGTTTTTCTTCGTGAATTTCCAGGTTTGCATGGGTGACTTTTCTATGCACCCAATTAAAAGAAGGATTGTGTAAGGGAATAGAAAAGCCCTAGTAACTGTTCTGCAGATGGTAGCAATGATGTAGAAGCAAAGTGGGCTAATTCTTTTGTTAATCCAGAAGTTTCATTAAAATTAATATCCTGTTCTTTATTTACTTGTGTTCTCATTCAGAAATGTTCCTATTTGTTGTGATTTTTCAAAAGCCCTTGAAATAGAAAGTTAGCCTTGAGCCAGTTATAAATACTCAAAAATAATTATACCTCTGGGTCCCTTCTGCATCAGTAAGAAGTTGGAAGCGTTAATTGTTATGTTTAATCCGATTTAATTAAATCTGCGTGCTCTGCTGCATTGATTCCTTTATAAAAACTGTTTATGAATTTCATGCTTGACTGGTTGAACTTCCCATGTTTTGATTCTTTTGTTTGAACCAACGGATGTTATGGTTCAGACTGCCATTGACTTGAGCCTTCTAGTGAAGAATTACAAATGGATTAAGGCTGACCGCTGTAAAGTGAGCCCTATGGCAAATTCTGTAACTCTTTTACAACCTTGTTTTAAGGCCAAAATAAAAATTTTGATCTTATTGCACCTTTTTTTGCGGTGCATGCTCTTCAATCATAAAATTATTGTAAACAAATTTACTCCAGTTATCTCTGTGTTACCCGGTGATTTTGTTACCCCTGCATCCTACTTCTTTGACTCATAAAAATCCCCAAAGATGAACAATAATTCATGGCATGCATCCTGTAGGACACAAAGATAAGTTGATCGATCTGAAGATGAGTTTTTGTAGAATATCCAGATCGTGTGATTTCTGTGGCAGTTTGTATTATGACCTTTGTTGTGCTTTAACCCTGTAAGTCTCAATAGTGACCAACATCAATTTTCTCCCAATGATGTCCGTACATTGTCAAGAGACTAGGTTATGAGAATTAATGAAATGATCAGTTAAGAGAAAATGCTTTGATCTTTTGTCAAATTCTCTCAACTCATTCTTTAAGGGAACATATAGAGATCAGTTTGGAGAATTTGTATGTGGATATTGAGGCTTAAAGGGTTAAAATAGAAGGAGTATATTTTATTTTCAGTATTCTGTAATACAGAGTTTTGGAGTCGTCTTCAGATCAACTGTCTGATTACATAAAGGCCCAAGTATTTTCAATTTAGGACCCGTTGTTTTTTAAACAGGGACTCATTGGTTTTGGACTGGGACTCATGACTTTTCAAAAGATCAGTCCCAGGACTTACCATAACTATTTGTACAAAATCACTGGGTACCTTGAAAACAACCTGGCTAGTATGATCTCTGAGATGCCACAGAAGGTATTATACAGGACTACTGTTGCACCTGACTCATAAAGAGAAAATTTCTTTTATCACAGGATCACAAGAGCAGGAAAGTCAAAGCAATGAACCTGCAGTGTTTCTCAGGGTAATAAAGCGAAATACTCCTAATTTGGCAAGGTTACAAGGATTAACTGAGGAAGAAAGAGAAACTCAATTGCAAGAAAGTAGAACAGCCTTTGAGGAAGAATATGTTACAATGACGGATCCTACACTTCAGAGATTGCTGGCATTGTGTGCTCCGTTATTAAATGTAGATGTGAATCTTGAGAGGAAATACAAACACCTTGACATCTGGAGAGTGTTCGAAGCAAACAATGTAAGCAAAATTGTGCATAAAGATATACAGTGTTGTGCCATTAATTATGTATGGTAAGGGAACTGCTTATGTGCTTATGCATGTTAATGTCAGACGAACAAATTTGGAATTGTAAATTTGCAAAGTTTTGCGTAAATGAATTCCCACAGCAGTGGAGTTGAAAAGATTACCCATGCACAAATAGTGAAAATGCAGAGAATATTGTTCGCAAATGAAGCTTAGTGAGGTTACATTTTCCCATACTAAGACCCTGAGTTATAGGGTGACTGTACTGTTTTGCTGTTTTTGGTCTGTCAGTTGTCATGTCATGACCTGGTTGCGACTTTATTGAGGCCTGGTGTCATTTGTTTCTCTTCAGAAAATAACTGGCAAATATAGGAATACTGTTTGTTCGACTGGGGACAGGAGTACTTGGCAATTTTGATGTTTTGGGGAACATAATAATTATGCTCATAATTATTATGAAATTATTTTTGGAAACGAGGAAAGATGAGTCTCCCACCCACCCCTCCCTCCCCCCAACATTGGAAGATCTTATTACATGTAACTCTAAAACAAAATCATATCTTTGGGAGAATCAAATAATTAAGCGACTTAAATTGTTTTCAGCAACTTGTATTGTTTCATCATATTTAGGTACCTCAAGTTTTAATCATGTTTGTATTAATTTTAGGAAAAACCTAGGTTCCTTCACCTTACCCAAGGACTGGGTATCTTGGAAAAATATGCCTCCAATCTTATGAAAGAAGCTCGCCCTCCTTACTGGAGAACTGTCAAATTTACAAGCTCTCTTGTCCAAATACATGTTGGGAGCTTGATAGGCAGCCGAGACATTTTGTCACAAATGGGATACACTCAGGACATTGATGATGGCGTTTCTTTTCCTCTAAATGTAACTGAGCCTGATGTACAAAAACTTCGAGAACTGGCACCAGACTTGTTCTTTGCTAGGTATGAAATCGATGCGTTACTCGTAAATAGTCATCCATATTACGAAATTGCGCCTCCTGTTCCTGAGAGTGAAGTACAACTTCCTACCCTTTTGCGGACAACATTCCCACCATCAAGGCCACGGCGTTTTCCACCAAGGACTTCATCTACTCCATTGTCTGTGCCACAACAGGCTACCGCGGTGACTGCAGGATCAACAACAACTGTAGTTACAAGTCCTACGAGGACAGTTTTACCTTATATCCAGGGTAACCAGCCTCAACAACGAACACCATCCCCTATACCAGCAGCAAGGAGACAGCGAGGCAATCTGTCAGACAGAAAGGTAGCATATGAGTCTTGTATTTGGCCTGTTAATGGTGTGCATCTTTTTACTCTCAGTATAACATACTATGTATGGCATAATATACTTAACAGACCATTGCAGTGATGATTGTAATCCAACCAGCCTCATATATAGCTACATTGTGCAACTAAAAACCTGCAACACCTGTAACAGGTAACGGAAAAAAGCCAGCGTGGAAGTCAAGAATGTTAACTTTGTCGCAATTAAGAGCACTTCTGAAATACTTTTCAGTGATAAGAATAATACAAGGTATGAGAATGATGTTTTTTCAGTCAGTGACACAGGTTGCTCCCAACTGAAGTCCAGCCTCTGACCTCCTGGCTACTAGTCCAGATGCTTTACCACTGAGCTACAGGTGACTCGGGAAAGTACAACTGCTAAACTAGGTTCATCTGACAAACATCCTGCATAAATACTAGTAGGATTGGAATGTTGATATGTGTTAGTGTACAATGATAGAGATATGAGGGTAAATTTTGAGCCTGGGCCTGGTTCCTGAAAGGCCGATTGCTTGAAATTGTGTTCCGTTTTTGTATTTTACCTTCCTATGCATTGCTTGGAGTTACATTTTGTGTTGTCATTACTATATACCACAGTAAAGGCTGAACAGTATTTTGCAAGCTCGAGTTGCATGTTCCTAGACAAGAAAACCTTGCTTAAAATTTGGCGTTATCCTCAGTTAAGCTTAACCATCTTTTGAGGAACCAGGCCCTGGTGAATACATGTCAGCCACTGACCCAGGCACTGTAAAATTTTTGGCATATATTTTGCCATGTGTTACTGTCATTTCTTTTGGGAGGGAAAAGAATCTTTAACTTTTGAATGGTCAAAGGCATAAGGATCCCCCTCCTAAACGTTTTCTAATCCCTACACGTTATGTCTTAACACCTTGTCCGTGCTCTTGTTTGAATTTGGAGTACAATAAGAACAAATGGATTAAGAACATCAGGCTGAAAATTGGCCAATAAAGCCCCATTTTTATGAGAACAAGATCAGCCTGAAAATTGTAAATTGTTCTTATAAAATGGAAAAAGTGTCATAATTACAAAACATATAAGTTTATGTTTGCTGTCAGATAACTTTTCATTTGTTAATATAATCAAATTACAGAATAATTATTTATTTTATTTTCCTAAAATATGCTAAATATACCGGTCCTCTAGCAACATGTTTTGGATAGTATTACTAAGTAAAAATTTAAGAACATTTTAACAACATTTTGAGGCTGATTTGTCATTAAGCACCCGATAAATAAGAACTCAATCAGCCTGACCTCTGAAATTGTGTGTTCTTATATGCGGGTGTTTACTGTAATGTTTGATCAGGGGAATAATGAAACTCAGCAGACAACAGCTGAACGAAACGCTGAAAGTGAAGGAGACTCTGAATATGAAGATGCTGAAGATGGCATCCTCTCCTCAAATGCTGACCCTAATGCTCAGCGACAAACAGACATTGAATGCCGTATATGTGGAGAATCAGTAGCATCAAAGTTCTGCAAAGACTGCAAAGATACTTTCTGCGTCCCATGCGATGAAGTATACCACAAGCACCGCTCACGTCATTCCCATGTTAGAAGTGATCTGGCCACGCCGACCATGGGGGCCTCCACAGCGTCAAGAGAAGTACCCACCGTTACCAGTGCTGGAACAGCTGCTGCAGGTGTTGTCTTGGGTACTATTGCTGCCGTTGTGGCAGCTGGTGCTGCTGCTAGTTCTGGACAGCACACTCTAGGAGCTAACTCTTCTGTTGAAGCTGTTGGTCTCACTAGTGGCAGTAAGGATTCAAGGTGTGGATAATCATACTTCTGTGTCAAGGCTGTGCTCTAAGAAAAATTGTAGGGAGCCCAGTGCCCTGAACCTGTGAAATCCAGGGTGCCCAGCATATGATTTCTATGAAAAAACTAAGATTTTCTGGTTGCCCTTGGCAAAAGTTAGGCACCAAGGGTCACTGGGTGTTGCTAGAGCACAGCCTTGAGTATACTACAGTAAAAAACTGTGTAAAAGCAGCATGGAAAGAAAGTTGTGTCCCATATCCCGGGGCTAGTTGATTTTGCAACAAGCTATTGAATTCTGTTCTTTACTTGTCCCTTGGGCAAGTGAAGGTTTTAGTTTAAGCTCCTAATAAATTCATGTGGATCAAAAGTTGGTAAACGAAGGGTAATCTAAGGATAACCTTGCAAGATCTTGTAGTCTTATAAGCCATGAAAACTATGAAATTCTTCCATTACCCTTCTAACCATGCAAAATAGTATCAGCCCTTGTTGAGATGTATTTTACTAGTTAGTAGGATAACACAGCAGTGAAGGCCAGAGAAGTACCTTTATTCTTTAAGTCAAATGTAACTTACATTCTCAGTTGTTAATAGTCATTAGAATACCATTGCTTTCTACCAGCACTTACAATTTGGGTCAGGTGAAGTAAATTTTAGCAGCATGTGTTAGTGTACAAAAAAAAGACAACTATATATCATTTTTCTTCTGGATCAATTTAGGTCTCTGGGAAACTGCCATCTAGCCCTCCCCTAAGCCAACATTTTGTCTTAAGAGAGAAGTAGGTGTTAAAGTTGGTTTAGTGGAGGGGTAGGTGAGCAGTTTCCCAGAAACTTACATTGATCCTTTCTTTTTGTATGCTGTGAAGAACAAGACCAGTACCTGCGCCAAGACGAAACAAAACGCCACTCCCATCTAATCAAGGTGCTGCTTTAAGTGCTCAAGCACCAGATCCACTGTCTCCAAGAGCTGCACCCACGACTTCGCAAAGACAACAAACCACTGCATTCAACCCAGCCCAGTCACCAACCTCTCCTAGGATGCCTGGTGTATTCCAGCCTGTGGCAACAAGTGAGTCTCTTGTACAATGTGTTATGCAGCAAATATGTCAAAATGACAAAGACATCCCTTGGTATTGTTGGTAAATGGTAGGGGGAATACTTGGAGAAATTTGTTTGGGTATTCTGCGGGCCTATTTGCAGGCCTATCTGGTATACTGTAGCGCTGGGAACATTGACGTGCAGTTAACTGAAGGTTTTTAACCTTCAAAAAGGAAAGGTCTATGACAGCACACTGTTGAGAATGAAGTGTTGGTATTAGCGAGTTTGGCTTTCTGTGATAATCTGTTTATTGGGCGAGGAAAAGGTGTTCATTGTCCACATTAACTAGCGTCCTTATTAAGCAGGTTGAATTTAGAAAAAATGTGAGGGCTTTCCCCAGGGACAGAGAAAACTGTCCATAATACCGAGGTATCGACTCTACTTGCTTGTTTGTAAAAAGATTCTTTCCTTTTCCTTTTAATTAATACAATGAAGACATGATTAGGTGCCTTGTCTACATAGGAATAATGTCTTGAACCTTCCTCAGAGGCCATAATGATTGTGTATAAACAGAGTATGGCTATTATCTCTTCATGAGCCATATAGCATACCAGATACCGTGCATATAGCAAGCGTGTCTGAACTTTCTTCGAGTCTAAAACTATCAAAAGTGTAGGTTTTAAACTGTTAGTGTAACAGTTTTCTGCTTCCTCTCAAACTCAGCAGTGACAGGCCAAGTTCAGAACCAAAGAAGAGAAATACGTAGACCGCCCCCTTTTGCTGCCCATTATAACCCCACCGTGACCTCACAAAGAGGAATGGATGAGATAGATAATAAACCTGTAGTTAAAAGTAAGTATTGTTATATTACTGTAAAATTCCGAAAATAAGCCCCGGGGCTTATATTTTTCAAAGGCCCTTTTTGAGGGGCTTATATTTGGACGGGCTTATCTATGGAGGGAAAGTTGTGTTTCAAAATCGATTGGGCTAGCCTTATAGTTGGAAGTAAATTTACCGTTTTTGCTTTGTTTTACTTTGTATTTGTCAAGTACAAGCCCCCTGGGGCATATTTGGAGGGGCGATTTAACGGAGGGTTTTTTGCGTTACTGGATTGGGGGGCATATATTTGGAGGGGCTTATACATGGAGGGGCTTATTTTTGGAATTTTACGGTATATAGACTGAATACTCAGAATAAAAATAATATTATTATTAAACCCTTTTCACTTCTAGACCATGTTATGGTGAGGTTAAGATGTTACATGAGAAACTGGAATTTTTTCATAATTTTTTTCCTTTGGCCACTCTTTGGAGTGAAGTAGTTATCACCTTTAATGCCTCTGTTGTACAGAAAAATCTGATCTCAACATTCCTACTAGACTGTAGTTATCATGTGTTGCGTCATAAAATTAATGTGAAACAAATTAAATAAACATTTTTATTATTGGTTGATAAAATTTTTGTACCAGTGTGTAAGGCCAATAATTTATCTTCACTTTTTATTGTCAGCACATTTAAATAGAAAATTAACAGTTCTCTGGTCATAGAAAATGAAAGCAAAGTGCAAAAAAGGTTTTTATTTTTCATTCAAATACCTAATGTCATGCAGTTGTGCAAGAAGCATCAAGAATTGTGTTCCTGATTTTCATGTAATTTATCAAGCATGAGATGCAGTGTTTCATCTGGTGATGAAACACAGTGTCGAACACAGTGATTTTTGAAGGAGAGATGAAGGATGCAAAAACTAGCAGGTTTTCTCTTGATTTCCAAACACTTATGAAACATTAATTTCCTTACATGTAGTGGTTTTGTTGCTATGAGGAGTGTTACTGATCAATGTGTGGCCTGATATTTTAGTAGTGATAAAAATAGTAATGATAATAATAACAACAGTAACAAATAAATTGGGTTTCAGTGAGATCATTACCCTTGTGAGTAGCACAATTCTCTTATTAAATCTCTGATCTTGTCATTTAATTATCCTGTTACATCTTATTTGTCTTAACAGGTCCACCTGCACCACCACCAGCACGACCAGCTAAAATACCAGTAGAATCAAAGGGACTGACCCCTAGCTCCTCCACCACTGTAGAAACAGGTCCTGCCTTGTCATGTCCAAACTGTTTCTGCTTGAATCCTGGTGGTGCAAAAACATGCCAGTTCTGCAAGAAACCCCTTTCCATAATGGCTCAGCAACAAGCCTCAGGCCAGACGGTCAGTCAAACACAGCAGACCCAAGGAAACGTTTTTGTGGCTGCCTCTTCTGGTGTAGGTTCGTATAAGGAAGAGAGAGAACAAATCCCACTGTGTTGCTCCAAGTATATCCACACCCACCCTGTGGAGAGTCATTGGGACTTTTGAGGGGGGTGGGGGGTCACAGAAAAGTCATTTCCAGGGAGATGGCGATTGGGTTAGACCAAAACATTTCCTCCATTGTGGAGGTATGGATAAAATGGAAACAACACATTTTTACATATATGTTGAAATTGCCTTGATAGCTCTAAATGCTGATATTTGAACACTAACACTGTTAGCCAAAGTAACAGATTTCCAGATCACATGCACCTGTCATGACGTATATCTTGCTCTTACTTGGCAACTTCGAGGTCTGGCCTAATTTTTTTAACATTTATTTATCACACTAATATAAAGTTCAAATAATAATCAGTAGCACTGGAAATAACTAGCTACATCACATGATAAGGAATTAGGAAAAGAAGGAACAGATATGTCCACTATGCAAAAAAGGGGCCATTTTATGGAAGTGTCTCAACGCTTATGTTCCTCCATTGTAGGTGTTTTGATTTTAATTTGGTGATTTTCACTCCTTGTTCTCTTTATCAAACAGCTGTAGACTCTGACAAGTGGGAGTGTGAACATTGCACCTATCACAACCCAATAACACGCAGGATCTGCGAGGTCTGTTGTAAAACAAGTAGTAATAGTCCACGACCTGCAGGAAATTTACAGTTTGGAGGTGTTGCCCAAGGCACATCCAGGGAAACTCAGGTAAAGGTTAATGCACAATGTAATGCAGACACTGGATAGCAAGAACTACATGGACCACAACATGGAATATGATTCAGTGATTTGTACCAGGAAATATCCTGTGGAAATAAAAACACATTATTTGTTTTTAGATAGATATTGGAGACTAGTTATTCAAATGACTATCCTGAATTTTGTTGAGATATTGGATTTTAAATTCTTTTTCATCCAGCATTCAGAACGGCAAGTCATTTCCTCGCAAAATGTCACTAACATGGCTATGCATGTAAACAGTCAACAAATGCAGTCCACAAATCCGCTAGCCAAGAAAGAGGATCAGCAGAACTTTCAAGCTGCACCAGTGTGGTCCCCGCCACCACAAACAGCTGCAGCACCACCCCTAAGAAGTACCTTTCCTGCACAGGGAAACCAACAACCTGGGATGTGGGCGGGAACAGTAACAAGTCCACCAGGTCAACTATTATCAAGATCATTTGCAGCAGGAGGGATTGTCACCCAAGGTGGAATGCATATGACAAACACCCATGGAATGATCAACCCACAGATGCCTGGGAGAAGTGCTTTTCCTACACCAGGTTATGGTTATGGGGGAATGACTGCCACAGGAGCATTTACAAGGGATGCTGGTGTCCCCCTTGGTACTCAGGGATTTCCTCTTCCTCCTCCTCCTCCCCCGCCAGCGATGGGATCAACGAGTTCAGAGGTGGGAATTGATTTATGTTGCATTTAGAGAACATCGTTTTCTGCAAAATGTTAGTGGTAACATTTTTTCCGTTAACAAATCATGGGATGTCAGGAAAGCCCTCGGCAAGTGTGATTGAATATAACAATAATACATTGCCCTCATGCATAATGCATACATGCATACATACAGTGCTTACAGGTAGCCTGAAGGATCGAGGGTCATGAAGTTATCCCTAAGATCTGTCCTTACAGATAATCCACCCAGCCCTAGAAAGGTTGGCCACACCACCGGGGCCTACCTACGTCCCCTACTCTTTTTGAAGCAGTGGTGTGGGTTCTTTTATGTCCCACAAGAACAGTTGAAGAGGCTGTGTCACGGAAGTCCAGTTCATTTTGTTTAATTTTGCCAAATCGGCCTTAGTCGCTATGGAATTTAAAGTGAGTAAGAAATTACATGTAAATGACAAAATCAGAGATCCGAGACAAACAAATATGTCTCCTGAACATTATTTTTGAAGTTGCAAGCGGCAGGGATCAACTTTGAAAAACTGTTAGGCTGAACAGTTTTCAAAAATCCTAATTTCAATCCATTTCAATCTTCTTCAGTTTTGCCCATCTGTGACATCTGTTGTATCTGTTATGTTATTTTAACCTTCCTTTAAAGTTTTAAACTGTTATTTTTATGTTTCTCTTAATTTAACGGGCATTTTGTAGTTTCCTAATTTGGCTGAATTTCGTGACACAGCTCCTTTAAGTGAAAGTGCTGTGCGACGGGACCTACAGTTTTTTGTCCTTATCCAAGAAGACTAGAAAGTGATCTAACTGTTTGGAGAGACCATTACAAAGGCAGCACTTTCTTCTCAGTTATTTAGACACCATGAGTGTTTGTCCAGCTAAGGCTTGAACCCATGACCTTCTGCTCAGCAGACCAGCGCTCTCCCAACTGAGCTAACCAGGTGGCGGTCACGCAAGCGAGTTTCACCTCCTCTTGTTTGCGAACAACATTCTTCATATTTACACTCTTCCTTTTCAATTCTACTGCTGTTCATTTGCGTAAAACTATGCAAATTTGGTTAAAATTTTCTTTCTGACAAAATGATCAATAAGGGCTATTGTTGATGTGCAGCATCTGTGAAATCCTGACAAGCATTTCATTGTATTAAGATGTGTTATTAAGAACTGGGTTAAGAGATGGGATGTGCTTAAGTTAATACATACGGCATAATAGAGGTTTAATACTTCCTCTGTGGGTCAGGAGTCAACATAAAATAGAAAAATTGATTTAAATAGTGAATAAATATGAAGTAACAATTTAAGGTTGCACTTCCACGTAGTGGTTCTTCATCTACCATTCCTGGTTGAATTTGAATTTGGAAATGTTGAACTCGTTTTTTGAGGAATTTCTGGAGAAAAACCTCTTAGTAAAGGAGAGAACCAACAACAAACTCAACCCACATATTGCATAGATGCTTTAAGGATTTTGCCTTGTTAAGTTAGAGCTCAATCAATAGAGAGTTTTAGATCCGAGTTTACCGCGAACCTCTAACCGCTGGAGGTCACGTGACAAGTCTTTCGCGTCACGTTTGAGGTTTACGACGTGCGTTTTCAACGTGGGGAGAACGTATGTCATTTACCTGAAAGATTTTAGCGTATAAATCTTGTTTTATCCCACGTAATGATACAAAAATCTTGTGGAGCAAGTCTTTATCCATTAACAAAGGCACAAAGTACGGGCGAAATGCTAAATTTGATAAATTCTATTGGATCTTGAAAACAAGTGCCATTCATGGCTACTGGTTCAAAATGGCGGCCGTAAAATTGCAAGAAGAACTGATGTAAGAATTTACAGCTCTTTGCTGCTAGATAACCCAGTGTTACCGTAAATTTCTTGTATTTTCACTGATTGATTTTTCTTCTATTTCTAAGTGGAAAAATAAACCAGAATCCACTTCTTTAATCCACCACCAATCTAAATCGAATTATGTTTGAACGTTGAACCGCAAACGGGTAACGGCAAACCGCGGTTAGAGGTTCGCGGTAAACTCGGATCTAAAACTCTCTATTAACTTCCCTCTACGTCTTGAAAATCGCTTAGGTTGGCAAAAGTAGAATGTGAAATGATATTTAAGTGCTGCCATGGAAGGTTTAATCTTCCAATCCTTTCAGCTACAGCCTGGTCGAGAAAGCCATTACTAAAGCCTTACTCTACTTTGTGATGGGTCAAAGTCACTACAAAGTCATGTGACATAGCAGTTGGCAGCCAATGCCTTATTTCTATTGCAGGTGCCAGCGACAGGGTCTGCATTCCCCTCTCCCACTGGTAGTTCATATCTGCAGTACCAGCAGCAGGTTAGTCCTGGCTTTCCTCCTGCACCTCCAGTTGTGGCATGGACAGAGCGACCAGATGAAGCACTGCGAAGACATCAGGAGGAGATTTATGTGTCTGGGTTACACTATGTTGAATTGCTGAAGGTAAACAATGATGCCATGATAGTTCTTTTGCTTTGAGAACTCCTACTCAACAGCTTTTTAGTTTACTTAGCCTTTCTCAAACATTCAATTGAGAACCAGGATTACTGTCACCATTTGATTGTCCATGGGCTCAATACATCCAAATCTTCTTGACTGATCTCAATACATTTCCTTAAAAGGTTAGTTGAGAGACTGTATTGAAAGATTAACGCATTTTCCCCCAGTGACCATTTCATTAGTCATCACAACCTTTTCTCCTTTTGATGTATTGATATTGTTGCGGGAAATAATAATGATGTTGGTCTTTTGTGGGACTTGGTCTCTGTCTTTGTTTGACTCACACAAGTGCAGTAAATCTACTTTCTTTTGCCTTGATAAACACAAGGTAATATTATTTATGCCTGGTTTAGCTAAAAGCCTGTGAAAACAGCTGACATTTCTCGATCTCACCACTGGTTTCCCCACGAAATGATGTCTGAAAAACGAGTGTAGGAATTCAATACTTAAAAGCTATGACGAGTTACTACTCAGATCTGGCTTTTGATTGGTTGAAGCAAATTTCTCTTGTGACACAACCAATCAGAAGCACTAACCTGGATAGTGGTGCATCATAACTTTACATATGGAATTTCTGCGCTAGTTTCTCAGACGTCATTTCGCGGGGAAACCAGTGGTGGTGTCATGAAAGTGCTGGCTGTTTTTCTCAGGCTGTGCTTGCTGTGGGCTCTACATCTCTCACCATTCTATCAAAATAATGTTAAGAATGTTGAGATAATAAATGTTGTGACTATTTGACCAGGGCTTTGGTGTCCCATTGGTTTTATAATTATTAATCATTCATGTTTTATCGCCATCCCCTAGAAAGGAGAAAAAGAAGGTTTTTCAGCTGAAGAGGTGAACATTGCATCTGTTCTTGGCATTGATGATCCCCAAGGCCCAATTCACTGGCTCAAAACTAGTTGGTACGATCTGATTCACAGGGTCATGGTTGAGCTAGCCATTCCTGAAAATTCACAAGAAATTGGAAATGTCAGCCCTGAAGAGGTGCGAGAAGCTTTGATTGAATGCACTGGAGAAGTGTCAAGAGCAAAAGCGAAATGCATCGAAATCCGCAAGAAAAAGGTGTGATATTGTTGTCACAAACCCTTCATAATCTGTCCATAAATTTTAATCAAAATAGCTTTACAAAGGTCTGTATTGTAAGCCGGCTTGTGAACAGGGCATGCGATAGCCTGTGTACAGACGTCCCCCCTCCCTCGGGAAAAGTCGGGATTTTTCCTGACGGAGGGGGGACGTCTGTACACAGGCTAGGCATGCGACTGAACAAATGGTACCCTAGGCAGCAGTATTGCTGTTGCCTAGCTGTGGTGTAACTAACCCTCCTGTATCAACTCTGAAGGAGGAAAAAGAATAAGATTTTTCGACCTGGATATTGTCTTCATAAAGTTTTACATGAAAGAGCACCCATGTAAACGTGAAAAACGTCCCCAGGGAATAATGAATTCTTAAAAAACCTTTAAAAGGATTATTTTTATAATAAAAAAGAAAGAAAATATAAAGTGAGGAACTTTATTCACTGTTTAGATGTTGCTAACATCATTATCAAGAGTGAAAACCGTTAATTAAGTGCCAAAGTTTTGAGAAGAGTCGCGGTTTGAATAAATTAGATTGCTTTCATGCATGCTTGATTATTATATGCAGATGTCCTGATTGAAAAGCTTCGGGCAAATCGAGTGTAATACAGTGAAACCTGCATTAAGCGGACACCCTCGGGGAATGCTGTAGTGTCCGCCTAATAGAGGCTTCGATAGATAACGTCATATGAGGTGTCAAATGCCATTCAAATGAACAGTGGAAACATTTAGAATATACTCCCAGAGACTTTGACGATTTACTTTTATATTAATTTCTTTATCAAAGTGAACCAATTGATCATAGTACCATAAACATAGATTTCAACTCAAATTTGAACAAAACAGATGAGTGAAACAAGCTCTATACTGTATACAAGCAAAACGAAATAGAAAACAATACTGTACGATGAAGCTAATCAAATAAGTTCGTCAAGTCGTTTTTTAATGTAAATATCGAAAAATTTGAAGGTTGCAATTTGGGGCAATCTTTCGCATTTCCGGTGTCTGGCTAGTCTGCTACACAGCCGTTTTTAGTGTCGTCACGCAACGCTCCTCCCCACTAAATGGGGAGGAGCGTTGTGTGACGACACTAAAAACGGCTGTGTAGCAGACTAGTGTCCGGCATGTTGGGTGGTGGAATTTAATTACAAGTGTCCGTTTAATACAGGTTGGTAACATTAGAAATGACTATTTCAGGTACTTTTTAGGTGTCCGCGTCCGCTTAATAAAGGTTTCATTTTAAGTAAATAAGGGAAAGTAATTTGGGAACTTCGGCTACTGTCCGCTTAACAGAGGGTGTCCGCTTAATACGGTGTCCGCGTAATAAAGGTTTCACTCTAAGCTTGTATGTTTTGTTTTCCCAGTTGAGGTCCCAGGGGAACTTGACCCTTTGTCTTTTTATAAATTATGCGTAGATATGCACATGAATACGGCGAAATTTGAAGAAACAGTTCTCTAGAGTATTATCACATGATCTGTATTGGGAAAACAAAACATACAAGCTAAAGAGGTCTATTTTATATTTAGCAAAGGTTGGAGTTTATTGGAAACCTCTGAAATTTAAATTTGGTGGCTATGGTTGCAGTAATGTTTTAAAAATTTTTTTTAGGTCAGAGAATTACAGCAGGAAGGAGTATATGCCAAAACAGATTGCATCTTTGCACTGGATTCATCGGATGGAGACACTCAAAAGGCTATTCTTTCCCTCGAAAAAATGTCAATGGGACCTCTGCTTAGAAGAGTACTAGACAGTTGTCTCCCGGACCATGCAACTCAAGAAGATATAGCAATGGCTTTGACGCGGCAAACAGATCATCTAAGCCATCACGACAAAGCTAACTTTGAGGCCATTGTAAAAGACAAAAACCAAAATATGGATGTGAGGATTGCTTTCATTTGGTTTCTATTCCAAACTTAACTTGTGTATCAAAATAACAACACTGTTTTCATTTTTTGCTCACAACTTGCCAGCAAAAATAACTGGTAGATGAATTTGGATAGTCATTTCTGAACATGCATGTACAAAGAGTAATTTTGTTAAGACCACTTTGTGGTCAAGAGTTTTGTGATAAAGTGGTGAAGCCCCAGGGGAAAGGAAGGATTTACTGGACACGAGAAACGTCTATGCCTTATCTCAGACTTGTCTAAAGTACATAATACAGTACTTAAATAGCAGCCGAAGATGCGTTGGTCTAGCTGGGTGAGAACACATCACTGCTCAGAAAAACAAGAGAATATTTATTGCTTACTCGCAAACTATACCTGGCGTAAACAAAATTTTTGTGCAATTTCACTGCTTGAGTTTGTATCGAAACGACCGATTTCCAGACTACCGGGCAGGACTTTTTTGGCGTCCTGAATTGTAGCTTGTGTATGCTACTTTTATGCGGAAAACCATATCAATCTTTTTCTTGTTATAGCGTCGCATTCGAGCAATTTTGGCTGAAAAAGATTTGGCCTCTTGGGGAAGAGCAGAAACTGCCATCAAGTTAATCGACTTGGATTTCTCTTTGGAAGATTCTGTAGAGGCTGCAATCAGCTGTGGAGATCTTAAAAGATGTTTGCGATATCTCAAGCAAGAGTGCCCACTGTGCTGTGAAGAATACCCTATGAGCCAGGTTTGTTTTTCTATTATCAAGGGGGGAGGGGGGGGAATCCCATAAATAGCGGTTAGGTGTGTGCCGCACACGGCTTTAAACCCTGACGTTATTTAAGGATGAGAGAAAAAAGGAATTTATACCCAATTTAAGGCCCAAACCCGAAAAATGACTCCCTGTTCAAATGAAAAACCAACACTAACAATTTAATGGCAACACGTAAACATTCATTAAATCGCGTTCCTAATACTCTTAAGGATAGCTTAGTTTTAGCAGATGACTCCTCATCTAGCTGGGCATGCATTTAAACACTTTTATATTTTAGCTGATACACCAGGAACATAATGCCGATGAAGGCAATGCTTTTTCTGTTTTTATTATATTTAATGATGACATTCAATCATAGTTTTCAATCGTAGCTTTGAATTGAATCATAGTTACTCAACTCCAGCGTTGTTCTAGACTCGTTGTAAACAATGCTTTAGGTTTTGGGAGGTCTTCATTCTTCATTGGGGGTAAAATCTCAAGATGAACATTAACATTTTTTCTCCTCAGATGGTCACACTTCTTCATTGTCAAGACCGTGTTTGCCGGGATTGTGTGTCTCAGTACATCACCATCACAATAAAAGACAAAAATATTTTGCATCTTGTATGCCCGTGTTGTGGAGAACCTGGAAATCTGAATGATGAAGCTGTAGCAACAGAGTACTTCAACAACTTTGATATCCTGGTAAAGAACTAAAATTTGTGGCCAGTAGAAACTGACCTGAAAATTTCTAGATTTAACTTGTATAATCTTGGAGATAAGTAGTTTATGTTTAATCTTTGGAGTCTATTAATTAGCTAAGTAAAATTTTTCGGTACTTTAGTTTTGTTGTTTGTGTCATTGAAGGCAGCAACAACAACAACAACAACAAAAGAGCCCATAGTTTTTCCGTGGGTCAACAATCCATGAGCAGGATCATGCGCATTGGGCGCGGATCTCATGCCAATGCTTTGCACCCTACAAAACCGATTTTGAGAGAAACAAATGACTGTTTTGCATTGTAGTCTCACAATAATAACAGTTGCTTTGTTATTGATTGTGATATTTTGACTTCTTTCTGTTGGACTTCGTCAGGCAATAGTGCAAGGGGTTATTTAGTAGAAGCATCTTGTAATTACTGTCGGAAAGATAAAAATGCGCAGCTATCATAATCAAATCATTATAATGATGAACATAACTATAAACTTGAAAAAAGAAAAACTAGCTGTCAGCCATGTAAAACTTAACCCTACCCTCCATCTGTCTCTCAACTATACCACCTTTAGGACCTTTAAAATTTAGAACTTTGTACCTCTCACATTCTCATTTAAAGCCTTTATGGCTCGAAGATTCTGCAGGGGAGAGCAGAAGAAGTGCACCAAGACTTGGTAGCTTTGTAGCTTGTCAGTTAGCGCACAACTTTAGAATTAATGCTACTTCTCGATCTTTGCCTTACAGATTCGTGGCCTTGTGGACAAAGAAACGCATGACTTATTTCAAAGAAAACTTCGTGACAGGACGCTTATGAAAGAGCCTAACTTCAGATGGTGCTCACATGTAAGTTTTTGTCAGCTGTATAGTGCATTTTCACCTTGAAGGATTGTTACGGCTTGGAAATATTCAAAATAGGGAGCTTAACCGACGAAAACGGCGACAGCAACGAGAACGGCCAAAAAGCAATAGGTTTAAGCTATGGCTATGTTCATGCTGTACTGGGTGACTTTTCTTGCCGACACGAAAAGAAATCCAGTATAGTATGAACACCTATATGTGACTTTCCGATATGTGACTTTCCACTTTACAGATTGGCGCGGTGCAGCTTCTCTCTGTTACGACGGGAAATTGCGCTGAAATCACCGTTATTATCAGGGGCACCCAACGACAGTTTTCTCCAAAATACATTGAAAACACTTTTTTAGGCTGTCCAGAGTACTTTTAGATCACTAGAAATGCATTTTAAGCGGCGCTGTAAAGTTTGGATCTGTTCGGTCAGCCTAGGGCATGTTGAGTCTTTTCGAAAATTTCTGATGCATTTTACACTTTTACGAAGGTTAGCATTTTTCTTTTCTCCATCATTTGTTTGAATCCGAAATTTTTAGGTTTCCTTTTTCTTCGAAATATAGCTTGAACTGGAGAGTGAATGTCAAAAATTAAATTTCACAAAATCGTAGGGAATTTATCAGATGAGCTTTGAAAATCGTACATGAATAGAACGGTCATTTAGAAATTTTTAGCCGTCCTCAACCTATAGAATATTCTAGGTAATCTTTGCTTCTTCGAACAGATATTTTTCTGAAAACAGTCGTTGGGTGTCCCTGTCTTATGTGTGAACAAAATCCCTATCCGTTACGATTTTCGTTTTGTATGGTCTAACGTAGCCATTACTGTACTAGCCTACAAGGAAGCTCTCCTATTTGGGCGAGCGAAGCGAGCCGCGCACGCGAGAACGCCCGAGCGAGCGGCGAAGCTGCGAGGGGCCAAGGAACTTTCGCGTCTCCCCTCGCGTGCCACTCGTGCGTGTACTTGTCACGATATCCCCCAAATGGAAAGCTGGCTCGCAGGCTATTATTGTACTTTACTTCTGGTGAAAGGAAGTAACGTGTGAATGTTTTGTATTCAGTGTTCATCAGGCTTCATAAATGAACAACCTGGTCAGATCAAGATGATGTGTCCACATTGTCAGCAATACTCTTGTTTCAAATGCAAACGACAGGTATGAACCATTTTCACATTTCACTTTATTTTGACCTTGATGGGGCCTTAATTATCATGTGGATTGGGGCCAATCATATGCTAAAATCATATTTTTTGAGGTCCCACTAGCCTGCCACGCAGTAGCCTGCACTCGTCCCAACTTTCTCGACGAACTCGCGCGAAAACGCTTACTACACAGGCTAGCCACGCAGACGCTCTTAGGCGTTCGTCACGCAATCATTCATCGGCAGAAACGCGTGACGAACGCCTAAGAACGTCTGCGTGGGAGGTTAAGGTCCCACTTCTCTACTGTAGTTAGTTGACTTGAGGATGTATTGATTTGGCTGAAATTCAATGTGTTAATTTACCAAGACGCAAGTGAAAATCCAGAAAAATGTTTTGTTCATTATGACACGAAGTGCTCCTTTTTTTTCCTTTTAAATCACAGCCCATTTGACTATGTGAGTAAAACATTTGTTTTTGCAGTTTGTTTTGGCACGAATTTAACGTTTCGTAACCAAATTATCTGTCAGAGACTTCAGAGACTTTCGCCTTCCTTATTCTTACGTTATCTTCAGGTTCTTCCACTGCGTCAATTTTGCCCGTTCCTTTTCCCTTTCGAACTCTTCCCTATCATGCTGTGTTTTGGGGTTTATGTTTTCTCTTTGGTGTGTAATGGCTTCGCTGACAAGCTCGTTTCGTTAGTGGCCTTAGCTCCCATGAGTCTCCTGTAACTCAGTGGTAAAGCATCTGGACTAGTAATCTTTGCCCGGTTGTTCAAACTTTGGATAGCGCTATAATCCGCCGGTTAATTACGTTATCCACTGGATTGAGATCTATCCACTGGATAGAGTTATCCACATTTAAACAACCGGGGCCAGGTTAACTAGTGTAGTTGCTGGCGGCAAGAGGAGCCTGCAATCGCAATCTCCAGGTGTTGATTACGCATGCGTCGCATGTATGTAGCCGGCATTCGTTTGGACTTCCACTAAGAATGAATGGAGTGCACAGGACGCAATTTTATCACGCCCGTTTCAACCTTCTACCCCTCGTAATCTCATCACGTGTGTTTTGACCATTTGTCACGTGAAACCTACGCGAAGCACAGCGTCGGAGCAAAAGCGTCTTGACCTTCGACCTTTGTCGCCCGCACTCCGTAACCTTTGGTTGTTACTGTTTACTAGTCCTAGTACTCCTATCGGGACAAGTCGTATTTTTCCGTGGAGCCGCTTGGGTCACTGCCGGACTCATTTCTCTTGTGCCAGTTTATATACCACTATCATTTGTTTGCAGTGGGAGGATCAGCATGAAGGAATCACTTGTGAACAGTTTGCAGCGTGGAAAGAAGCCAATGATCCTGAATTCCAAGCAGCTGGGCTGGCAGCTCATCTGAAGAGGAATGGAATAGGTATAGTTATTAGAGGTCGTTTATGACTCTTTTGCCACTCACCCTTGGTTTGAGCCTGTGACATCTATTATGAAACTACAGTGGAAGCTTTATTCAGGGGAGACCCTCGGAGCCGAGTCAAGTGTCCCCTGAATGGATGTGTCCTCTGAACAGGGTTGGGCCGGGGTTTGTTAATAATAAACCAACAAAATTTGTTTTATTCTGCCTTGGAATCTGTTGCAGTCGTTATTTCAAGCAGCTAGGTAATGTCCAAAAAGTCATGGTAACTTATCTCTGTGATATTGCATTCTCGCAAGTGCAGTACGTCGACTCGTGTGACATAGGCTGTGTACACTAAACTTATCAACCCTCTTTGTGGTCAGTCACGTTTTGAGGGCTAAGGTGTCCCCTGAATGGAAGTTAAACTTAGGTTTCAGGACCCAGAAAATTGTCCAGTTCCCCTGAATAGAGGTAACAGATACAAACATTATGAGAACATTTTTCCGTTACCAAGTTTTGCGTCCCTTGACTAGAGGTGTACCAAAGGAGAGTTTCAATTGCACCGAGTCGTTTTCTATTTAAGAGTCCGTGCAGCCATATGTGTAATGACCGGGTTGCAACTTTCCATGCCCTTCAGCCTATGCATATCCACTTGCAAAATTTCCAGACTGATCTTCATACTTTTTCGTGAAGAATTAGTCGAGAGAATTTGATGAAAGTTCAAAGCACTTTGTCTTTAATGATTATTGTATTAATTCTCGTAATCTTTTTTCTTGATGATGTATTGATGTCGTTAGGGGAAAAACTGATGTTTTTCATTCTTGGAATTTATTTGCTTTTCAGTCTGTCCAGCCTGCAAATATCGATATGATCTTTCCAAAGGAGGATGTATGCACTTTAAGTGTGCTATGTGTGAACACGAATTCTGCAGCGGCTGCTACAATCCTTTCCTTAATAACCATGGACAGGTACTACTAACATATTACGCTCACTTCCAAATTTAATCGGGTTGAGACAAGACTAGACTGCGTAGCTGGCGGGATTGTCACGTCAGCGCGTTTTATACGACGCAGAGTTGCGTATCCGCGCGGGGAATGGGGAGAAGACGCTTCCACCAGCTACGCAGGCTAAGACAAGACAGAAGAAATGTGCAGACATTGTTTTATCAATTTTATTCTTATGGATTCCTCAACTGATATTTCTGTCAGCCAAGTGAGTGTTTTTTACTACTTAAACCGTGAATTTGTCTTCGTTGATTTAACTGTCTCATTCTCAACTTCAGCTGTAGCCAGCGAACGCACAGGGGCACTCCACGTCGTTTTCCTCCTAAATGCATTGAAAACACGGCTATCCAGAGTACTTTTAGGTCTTTAGAAATGCGTTCTAAGCGGCGCTATGAAATTTATATCTGTTCGGCCATCCTAGGAAACTTGAGTCTTTTCGAAATTACCAGGGATTCAGTATATCATTTTCCCGAAAATTTTAGATGCAATTTAAAGTTTTAAGAAAGTGAGAATTTTTCTGATTCCTCTTTCCATCGAATTTTCGAATCCGAAAATTCCGAATCCGAAATTCCTTTTTCTGCAAAAAACAGCTTACCTGGAAAGGGAAATTCGAAAAATTAAACTTCAGAAAATCGTGGGGAATTTGTTAGATAAGTTTCGAAAATTGTACGTGAATGGAACGGTCATCTAGAAATTTTTAGCCTTCCTCAAAGCTATAGAAAATTTTAGGCAATTTTTGCTTCTCCGAACAGATATTTTACAGAAGGATGTCGTTGGGTGCCCCTGAACGCAGATGTATTTCCGTTCGGCGCTTCTCTCCACCTGAAAAGTAAGCGATGACTGGAAATACGTCTGCGTTCTCAGGCTACGTCAGCAGTGGAAACGCGTCATACCTCTATCTTCGAGTCTGTGCATGAAATTGTATTGTATGATGTGACGATTCTGACGAGACCTTCATTTAACGGCACGACGTTTCCGTTACTTCTTAAAACCAATTGTTGGGAGTTGTAATTGTAAACGGAAGTGTGTTACATAGAGTGCACGTGTGTTCAGTGTTAACTAATTCTTTTACTTTTCAGAACTGCCGCGTATCAGAACATTGCCTTGTAAGAGGATTACATGCACACCATCCACGAGACTGCTATTTTTACTTGCGGGATCGCGATCCACAAGAGTTGCAGAAATTGTTGCGTGATAATAACGCTGTATACAACACCGAACCACCTGAAAATCAAGGCAAGACTTGTTGCTTATTTTTAGCCGGAGTACTCTAAGAAGCCCTGACTCCTATTAATTGTCTCATATTAATACTTAAAAAAACGAGAGAAGCTCGGTCACGGGGAGCGCAAGGAACGATTGGAAAGTTTCCCTCCTATCTATCACCCCGCGCGCTAACTATGCCCCCGCTTCTCGCGTTCAGTTCTCCGCTGTGTTGAAGTTATAGAGACCTTTAGATTCGCCTTGGACGAGGACGACTACGAGAACGAGATTTAACTTTCACCAGAAAAGTTAGCACTGTCATCTTTAGTGAAGGAGGTTACGCGCTCTCTCGATCGCAAAATGATAGAACTTCTAACATTTGATATCTTGTTTTCGCCACCACGACATTCTTGCTAAAACTAGTAGAATGACGACGTCTACCACGTTTTCCCGCCAAAATGACGCTGGTTCACGCGCGAGCACTACTTAGTATTGAGAAAATCTCGCACTCGTAGTCGTACTCGTCTTAGGATCTAAAGGTCTCTAATGACTGGGGACAAGTTAGCCAATAGCCTGCATTGCAGGCAGACTTCCCACTTGACTGAGACCTCAACAGAGAACTCTATATATTGGGTGTTTAGACTACCTGAGACCTATACTTAAATGGTTTTACTTTAGTGGTAAATGAGATGAGTAACACTCGTCTCAAGACTAGCAGTCATAAGTGAGACGGTATTTTGGAGTTTTTGTAGGTTCTGAATTTCTACTTGGTTGTCCTGTGTCTAAATCCTGCCCTAGCCATTTAAAGTGCATAGGAAGCGAAACTTCCCAAACTTTGTAATCTTGTATTTCAAATGGTAAATTTTCGCTTCATTTGCACTTTAAGCTGCGTAGTTGTTGTCGCCATCCTCGGGTTCACTGTCTTGTCATTCTTGCCTTTAAGGGTTCACTTAAGACTGTATGTAGCACTCTTAACAGTTCTGGGGGAAAGTGCTGCTGCACAGTAAATGAGTAATAGCCTTCGCTGTATACAGACCCTTTTACTGTTCATTGAAAACCTAACAAGTGTCTTCAGCAATACCTTTCTGTGGGGCTAATCAATTATTATTTTCAGTATATCATAAAGTGATATATGGGATTTTTTGTTTGAAATTTTTCTAGCCTGAGTGGCAGGCGCTGGTTGTTTATTTATTATTATTATTATTATTATTATTATTGATAGAGCGTGCGAGAGCGCGCGCATCCTAAGAATTTCTCCCCTCTCCCTAAAAAAGGGCATTGGATACCGTTAACTTATTACTGCTATCTTTGTACATGTATTTAATAGTCATTCAGGAAGCCTTTGCTGTGTTAACCTCATGGCTTCCTCGCAATTGTAAAATAAATTGTGTAATTTCATTTAGTGGGAAATAAGGAAAAAAAACCGTGAGAGCAAAGGCCCTTTGCGCCTCCTTTTTAAGTAGGGAAGACTGTCTTTCCAACTTATCCAGGAAAATGGATGTGCCTGCCTGTGCCTGCAGTGTACTCACTGGATTAACAAGGAGTTAATAAATTTCTTGATTGAAACAATTGTAGGTAATGATGACTCTGATGACGAGGCAGCTGGAGCAGCTGCTGCCGCGCCTGCGCACTGTAAGGTTAGTGAGCAGAAAGAGACAGTCAATGGCTTGGTGGATGGTGAGTGCGGAGAACAAGCGCCTGCTGGGTATGCTGGGCTGTGCAGGTTGGTTTGTTATTGTTGTTGTTCTTGTTTGTTGGTACATTGCTATGTTTTGGATGATTTAAGGAACCGTTTACCTTTGAATACGCGCGGGGTTCTCAACAAAATTTTATGCTGGGAGGTCTAACTCTCTACCCTTTTATATACCATTTTTCACAGAAAAGGTGCCCTTTTCATATACCTTCTATTGACAAATGGTACCCCTTTCACATACCTTGTTTGGAACTTTGCAACCCCTTTAACTGTTGCAAATGCACCCTCTTTTAAATATGAAGGAAATGTGCAGAAAACAAAGCCATTTTAGTACAAGTTAAATGTTTCCGATTTATCAGTGGACAACACGATTTATTAAGACCACCTCGAATGTTTCGTCCGTTAGTTGATATACATTAAGTACAAAAGTGAAACAAGCATACACAGAGAAGTTTACTTTACTTTTATTGAATGGTAATAAGTCATTTCATTTGAGCTTTAATTATTTTAGTCTCAGAATGGATTTTAGTAGAATTAAAATTAAACCAATTATTATGGGACAGCTTTTATTAAGAATGCTGCAACTATTTCGTTCTTTAATTGATATTCATTAAGTACAGCAGTAAGCAAGCCTGCACGTAGAAATCCCCTTTACGTTGTAAAGATATGGATGAAGTAATTCATTGTATTCGATCTTTAATTCTATTAGTCTCAAACTGGACTGATTTTTTTTCCACCTATAGCAAACACTATATAGAGTATCTCGTGAATTTAGTCAATGATAATTTACTTGATCCCGCTGACATAATGACTGGTGATGATCTCAAACGCGTGCTGCAGAGAGGCTTTGTTAATCTACCTGAGAAACCCAACAGAATGAACGATCAACAGTATCGACAGTTGCTATTACAAGTGAGTGAAAATTGTACTTTCTGGAACTGAAAAAGGCGGTGTCAATTCAGACACAATATTAACTCTAAGCCAAAGTGCAAAGAAAATGACTCCCTAACTTACCGTGAACGAACCTTAAAACTGTTTAAAAATAATTTCTGTTAAAAGATTTGAAAGTTAGAGTGCTGTTGAGGAATTGCGAATAAGGTTTCATTTTTTAAACTCACTTTTGAGAAACCGGAGATTGCTGTGTTCAGTCCTTTCTGTAACATAATTTACTCTTCATTTCATCATGTAGACTATGAAAGAGCAACTTCCATTACCTCGAAAACCTCCAAGAAAAAGAATATTGGATGACGATGATGAGGTGCTAAATCTACAGAACAACGAGGATAACCGTTTGATTGACAGTGATGATGATGATGATGATGACGACGACGAAGATCGTGGTCCTGTACAAGTCCTATGGGATGAAGATATTGAGGATTTTGATCCATGAGATGAGTAAAACGGTTATAAATGTGGAAATTGCAAGTCTTGAGGAAAATGTTTAAACAGCATTTTTAACTTCGTACGAAAAAAAAAAATTTTATCTAATCACACATAGTTGCTAGAGAGCTGCTGATATCGATGAAAATGTGAAAGCTGTGAGGGTGTATTTTGTAGGCTTCAATTTCATTCTTGGTTTAAATTTTATTTTCATTTGTTTTGGGTCTGTTAATGTATGGTAATGATTTGAAGTAAGGGAATATAAAATCTGAACCAAGAATAAAATTGAATCACAACAGAATGTGAGGCTATGCCTTTGTTTCTTTCACTGTTATGCATTCGAAAGGTTTTAGTCATAACAATCAGTCGAAAGGATTCTTCGTTGTCTTCGGAAATCAAATGACTGCGTGTAAATTTATTTGTAGGTAGTGATCAGGACACAACAAAAGAGCTCTGAAGTTGAGTCAGTTAACTGATATAAAAAATTGTCGTTACAGCAAGCTGATTGTCTAATTTTCGTGTAGCGCTGATTTTTGAAAATCTCAGCCTGTATTGATTATTTTAACAGTAATAATATCAGTGATCTACTAAGCTCATCTTTCTTATTACCACTTATTTTTTAAATCGGAGGAAGTTAGTATTTCAATCTAAGAATTTAGTAAGGCAGTTACCAGTCAGTTGATAATTACATTTTTAGTTTCTAGTTTTAGAATCATGATCGTTATCGTTTGCACTTAAGAAACAGTTTCCAGTTTCCAGCAACAAACTGCTGACCCTCCTTATTTAGGATGATAAGTTAACGTCACTGCACGGTAAACGCACGGAATATTAACGATTTTTTCGAGGTTATCTAAGATCTATGTAAGTCAATCAGTCAACCGATATGTAACTTTGTAGGCAGAGTGTCAGTTAATCAGCCATCCAGTCAGTCAGTTAGTAAAGGTAGAGGTAAATAGTCCTTATTTTACGTCGGTAGCTCGAAATAGTCATCAATCCTGAGGCTGACTTTGCGCTCATCCCCCCCCCCCCCCCCCCCCCCTTCTCTCTCTATCATGGCTCCTTTTTACGGGTATTCAAAGCTAATTAAAGCTACACGGAACGGAAAGAAGTCAAAAGAAGCAGCCTCGTACCCAGGCCAGTTCTCGCTATCCGAGTTACCAGAGGAGGCTTGGAGCCGTGTGCGATTACTTTCCCGACAAGCTTGACAGGTGACATCACATCCGAAATCGCCAAGGACGACTGGGAACGAGGCTGCGAAAGAAGGATTTGTGGTCACACCTGCGAATCGAACTCGGGACCTCCCGCACAGAAGGCTACGCACTAACCAACTGCACTATGCTAGTCAGTTAGGTGATTTAGTTAGTTAGTCAATCAATCAGTTACCGAGTCAACAGGCAACGGTATTTTACAATTAACAAAATTAGTGTCAGTCCTAAAACTAAATAAGTTGTAGCTCACTCGAAATCAGATTATTGGTTTAAAAACTAATTATCCGGAAAGAATAATGATCTAATTGCAAAGTTATGCTTATAGATAACATTACTATTTATTTAAGTTTAACGAGGATTCTGTCTTCAGCTATTCAATTCTGCAGTATTAAATATGTGTTTGTACAGTAAATTTAGACGAGTTTAAAATGACATAGAAGAAGACTCAGCTTTCTTAAGTTTCATTTTCGAAACAGTTAATTGAATATTTTAATCCATATTGTGATTTTTATGTGTTTGCATATAACCTGGAAGGGAATATGTTTGTTAGCATTGTACTATTGTTGCCAACCTGCATTAGTCCTTTCAAGCTCATTTTTATGACATATTGGCTTTCAGGTGAACACAACAGCTATGTTTTAGTAGCTTCTGTTTTTCACTTCTTTGATGATCGATCGAATGGCGTGCGACATCCCATGGTACTTAAATTGTGGCGTTTTACAGACCGGAGGTAGTTTGTCGCAAGGTACAGTGCGGCGGTTTTCCCCTGCAGTTGTCGCAAGGTACAGTGCGACGGTCTTTTCAGGCCCTTTTCGGTGACGTATCCAAGACGAATGGAAAAAAACCTCGCTCGGACCACGTGACCCGAAACGCGTAGGCCGCGCGGAATAATGGGACTAGAGACTAGGCAAAATCCACTCCACTGATTGGTTGCTTTTATATCGCAGGACACAGAACCCGTGATGAATCTGCATCTCAGTAGCTACCATGACCTCGGGTTTTGAACTTTTTTATGTTCCCTTGGTTTATATATCCCTCGGTTAACTAATCTCGGTGAAGTGGTCACACACGAAGATTTGTTTGTTGTTTTTTTCCCCTTCTTTTGTCAGTTTTCCCGAATTTAATGGCCTTATTTAGTAGAAAAAAGGCTCAGTCAGTATTAAAAAAGGTACATAAAAAGTTAAAAATAACAAAGTGTAAGCCCCCTGTGGGCTGCGAACATACAAAATTTTCCCTTCTAAATCTTCTGTAGTTAGAATACTGCTTTTAACAGTAGGAAAACTGAGATTCGACTCCGTAACGTTATATGCGTTATCAGTATGGACTGTAGTAAATAACGAATATTGTTGGACTAGTAGATCTCTATCAAGCATGTTTTTAGCTAGGGTAGTTTGGAAATGCTACCACTGTAGCTGAACGCGGGTTAACCAGAATAGCGTGTTAGGGTTAGTCAGAAAACATAAACTTAGATCTCCACTGCCTCTCACATGTATAATTTTGCCCGCGCTGCGAAATCAGTTGCAAAAACTGAGAATTTCTTGTCAATTAGAAGGTAGCTTGAACGCTCATCGCTATAGTATTTCGGAGTCTAGTTTACTAGAGTGAGCGTGTGCTTTGATTCCTTTAAGACGTCATTTTACTAATCGTTAGTTAGGTTCTAGTTTATTAAAGTTATTACATTTATAAGGACTTTAGACTTGGCAGCGTGCAACCTGGAGCATTAATAGGTGGCTGTATTTGCATGCTAGAATGTTTTCTCGAACTTTATATAATTAAGTTGTAGTTTTATTTATAGTTTTGATCATGTATGGAAGTATATTCTTGGTGTTGGTCATTTTCGTAATAACGGACATTTAAAAAGGCTTTTTGAACTGTAAGCATTGTTACTTAATTAAACGGATTCCGTTAATCAAAACTCTGAAAACTAGATTGGGTATTGATAAGAATTAGAGTGCTTTGAACGACAAGTGAAAAAAAAAGTCGCATATAAGTTTGCAGGATTTGCTAAGTAATAAGTGAAGCACAAAGCATGTATTATATTGGGTTAATTATTTGTAATATTTAGATTTAACTTAAGTAATCATCAATCAAGTACAGTGTATTAAAGTTTGCAGGACTTGCCTAGTAATAAGTGAAGCACAAAGCATGTATTTTATTAATTTTTGAAATAAAGCGTAATACGCAACTCTAGATTCTGTGGTGTTGCCGTTATTTTGCTGTTGTCGATTTGAAGAGATAGCACGCCGAAACTTTGTTGTCACAAACATAATTAAATTTAATGGTTTTAAAGTTCGTCCTGCTTGCCCAACGTAAATGTTGCTTACTAGAGGTTAATAAGCCCATTACCCTTCCCCGATACCTCCCACGTTTGTGCATCAACTACGTCGGCATGAATAAAGATATGGGAAAAACGTTACCACAACTGTATTATATAATGATGAAAATTTCTTATGATGTGGGTTTTATTGCAATCGGAGTCGCCATGGCAACGTATTGACGCCATTACGCTTTTTATTTATCTTTGTGTTTCTCTGTACCAGGATTTTTTTGAAGAAATCGCTTAAGGGAGTATGTACCTCCCATAATTGCCTCCATTATGGCAAAGTTTCAACAAATTCTATGAGAGCGTTTTCGAAATATTTTGACACGCAGTTTTAACAATCATGAAAACAGTGAAATAGCATGCTATCCATACAATTCGCTAATATTTTAAGAAACTGATACGCTTTGGAAACGCGGCTTCATCCCATAGTGGTTTGATTCCATTGAAAAGTGCATACAAAAAAAGAGGGGAATTGCTCTGAGCGATCGCGAGTAAGAAGAATTTTATTGACTTGCATTCAGCTGCTTTTGTTATAGTTTTTGGGCGTAATTTGGTCCATGCCTACAAATTTCGCATTTTCCAAAAAACCGCTCGATACATTTTTTTATAAATTCGACAATCTGGAGATCAATTATCAATAAATATTCCCTGCAAGTTTCAAGAACATCGAAAACAGGGAAGGCTTTTAAATAGGGCCTTAAATATAACAAATTTTTCCCCCAGATTTTGTGTTTTTACAAGTGAGCGTCATTATTCACTGGCATTGTTTTCAAGTTTCATATACACGTGCACATTTAGCAAAAAGATAGAATTTGCATCAAAAAGGACCCTCGGTTATATCTCCGGAATATGCTAATTACCGGGTAAAGAGATTAGTGATGCATTATAACATCAGAGCAATTCTTTGTAAGAGTTTCTGTGATGTTATAACCCGAGTAAGATAATTAAGTATTGCATCCTACACGATGAGCGGTGACGTCCATCGTTTCGGCTCTCACTGCTGTTCGTGACACAAGCCAATTATTAGCATATTCCGAATATTTCTTCGGAAAGTAATCGAGAGTTCTTTTTGATTCAAACTTATATCTTTTGCTAGTTGTGCACGTGCATATGAAACTTGAAAACAATGCCAGTGAATAATGAGGACGCTCACTTGTAAACACAAAATCGGGGAAAAAAATTGCAATTATGGGAGGTACATACTCCCTTAAGCGATTTCTTCAAAAAACTCCTGGTACAGAGAAACACAAAGATAAATAAAAAGCGTAATGGCGTCATTACGTTGCCATGGCGACTCCGATTGCAATAAAACCCAGATCATAAGAAATTTTCATCATTATATAATACAGTTGTGGTAACCTTTTTCCCATATCTCTACTCATGCCGACGTAGTTAAAGCTCAAACGTGGGAGGTGTTCCCCCCAAAAAATCCAGTCGAGCCAACTTAATCCTCGTTTTAAAAAAGAGGCCAAGATCGACCTCTCGACTTGCGTGCGCAAATTTCCGCGGCAAACGAAGTGTAAATGTATGCAAGTGCTAACACGTTGCGACACTGCTAACGGATAAGGGCTTCGGGTGGCAGTTCCCATGCTAAATACACACATGAACACATGGAATGGTTGAAAACTCCCCACTAAATTTCACTTGGTTAAATCAAGAGAGTTCATCTCGGAGAGTTCAGACTGTCTGAAGGCCAAACCCAAACATCCGAAGTAGAACACTTTTCCCAATTTCCCCCCTGCAAGGTTCAAATGGGTGGTAGGGGTTGCTCCGGGATTTATTTTATAGGGTTAAGAACGACCGCTTTAAGCAGGATATCAAAAGGGATCAGGGGGCATACTCCCTCCGCCCCCGTCCCCCCTAAAAAAAATTTAAGTTACTGAAAGTTTTGTCCTTTAAAATATTGTTACTAGCATTTTAATGGGCAAGTCAATGTCTTTAATTGATGGAAGTTAGTTGATTTTGACTAGTATGTGTTTTTTAACCATGTGTTATCATTTTCCAAACCACCCTTGATCTGTCAAGGTACAAGTATGGGTAGAGTTTAAAAAAAAAACCAAAAGTTGGTGTTTTCGATGCCTGTATTATTCACACCACAATCACAGAAAGCTCATTTGAGCAATTTTTCTACAGGGTTTTTGTGGGTCCTTACCCCTCTGTGGCTGGAATTTATTGGCGCAATACTAAGACATGTATATGAGCCAGTGAAAACACTTGAATGGTGACATCACATCTACAAAGCTGCAACATGTCTTCTATATTGACTCTGGAAGTAACAACGAGACTTCCTCTCTTCAAAGAAATAAAATTAATAGCCTGATGAAAAAGTAATAAGCAACAGGAACAGTCTTTTTATTTAAAGTTCAAATCAATATGTGCAAATGTATAGATCTTGAAATGTAGTGTTCATTGACCAAGCCAAGGATGGCTGACAAACTAATAGTCATGGCAAAAGAACAGGAACTGTGCAGAATTTTTTAACAAAGTTACATAAAAACAATAATGTAACTATGTAAACTTTCAATAAGACTAAAAATACGAAAAATCAATGTCAGTGTCTCAAATTTGAAGTCAACAAAACAGAAATACGGGGCCAAATTATTTGTAATATTTAGATTTAACTTAAGTAATCATCAATCAAGTACAGTGTACTAAAGTTCTGTTAATTTTCAGAGGTATACCTAAATGTAAGTAATTAGAGATTTTGGCCACAAACAACAACACGTGGCACGGTTACGAAAAGTTTTCTTTGGCTACCCAACGTTAAATCATTCAGTAGAGCCACTGACACCTAGGGTGTGCATCTTTTGTCGCTGAGGCATAAAAATTCCCAAAGACGCAAAAATAATTTGTAGTATGCATCCCATAGGATGCAAAGATCGATTGTTTGATCTGAAGGTGTTTTTGTAGAATATCCTGTTTGTGTGATCTCTGTGGCTGTTGTTAAACAACGCTTATTTCTTTTAGTGTTTGTTGTGATTTACAACAGAAGGAGTGCATTGTTTTTTAGTAAACTATAATACATAGTTTTGGAGTCTGTCTTCAGATTAACTCTGTAGTTACAATTTGAAGTGGGACTCAGTGGTTCTGGATTGGACAAATGATTTCTCACAAGATGAGAACATCTAATTTTTTAATTGAAGAAGTTTCCAAAAGTAAGGTTACTTAAAGGTTACCTGGAAAACAAAAATACAAGCTACAATGTACAATCTTTGCCAAAAATCCTGGAAACACCCATACACTTCCCTTTCCCACTCCAATGTTGAGAACTGATTGCAAAGTTATGCGGCTACAACAACATTGCAAAAGGGAGGAGGAAAACGAAAGCAGGGCTGTGCCCTAGCACCACCCAGTGGCCCCTGGTGCCTTACTTTTGCTCTTGGGTGACTAGGAAATCATAGGTCTTTTAAAGAAATCATATGCTTGGTACCCTGAATTTCACAGGTTTAGGGCAAACTAGTTCTGCTCTGTTACAAGCCAGTACACAGTGCCTTTTAAATGTTACCATATGGTGATCAACAAAACATTTGAATAATATGGTTAAATTTTTCACAGGTTGTCTTAGTATGTTACCTGGACTACTTGAAACCTGACTCTTGGATTGTCAAAAGGCATACAACTCAAATTTCTTGCGAGTTATGAGAGTGGAAAAGGTATTGACATGATCACCTTGATACCCTACCTTCTATAAGTAACAATAGCGAGAAAAAAAATTAAACAATAGACCATTTTTGATACATTCAAATTCATACTTGGGTCCGAGGCTTGGGGGAATAAAACAAAAGAAAATTTACATATTATTCTTTACTGAACCTCAAAATGATTTCTTTTGTTTTATTCCCCAAGCCTTGAAGCCAAGTATTAGTTTTAATATATCGGAATTGGTCTATATTCCAATGCACCACATACTGGTCTGAACATTCTCATGAAACTCTTGCAGCTCCAGCAGTCTTGCACTTCAGTCGGTGCCCAGTTTTCCAATCAAGTGCTTGACATTTCTTTCCACAGTAGTAGACACTCTTACAGGCACCACATTTCTTGAACTCTCCTAGCTGGCTTTCTTTTTGGCCACAGGTCTGGCAAGAATGATGCTCAAATCTTGGGTTCTTTTTCAACATCAACTCTAACATTTCATTTGTTAACTTCCCCGTGAAATTTAAATAGATTCTGCGGCAAGCAATGTTGCACATCATAGCAAGGACTGGGCAAACAGCAAACTCCTTCTTATGGATTCCTTTCATGGTGCGACATATACCCTCATAATCAAAAGCAGGCATCCCGTTGTAATGGTCTTTACCACTGCCACTACACAGTTCTTCACTGATCACAACATCTCCACTAGAATTACACTTGAAGAAAGGAACTGGATTGTTTGCACTTGACAAAACACTGACAAGGTGCTTGTGGAACTTATCAACATCTTTACATGCACAAGAAGAATCACTGCAAACTTTGTCTTCGCCTTGTTCACTTTTAAAGCTCTCTTCTTTTATCTGGGTCTTATCAAGCAAACATCTGCTACCAGAGCCCGAACTGCTTTCTAGCACTCTGTTAAATGCCTCTCTGCATGAATCGTACACCAACTGGGACTCTTTAGTTAAAATCTTTGTCTTCTTTGATCCAGAAAGGAAATCCCACACACCTTTGAATTCATAAGCAAGAAATGGTACCACATGACTCAAGAACAGGTTTTGACTAATTTTTTCAGCACTCAAATTGGCTTCATTTCGTTCCAAACTCAAGTCCTCATCAACAAGCTTGTGGTACTCTTTCACGACTTTCCGGAACTTGGTCTCAAACAACCCACAAATTCTGATAATGTCATCTCCTCTGAGCTTGCTCCCACAATTTTTTGAGAGGGCATTACTGAGAATGGATTTACAGGACTCAGCAAGCTCACAGACATCAAGTTCTCCTTGAGGTTTGCTAGCAATTGCCTGAAAGACCTATTTCTGAAAATCAGATTTGGTGGCATCTGCCATCACATTTGTTGGCTTTATTTTCCAAAACAAATTCTCAAATGAATGTGCAAGGAAAGTATCTATAGCTTTGGTAAAGAGATGTTCAGCAGCACAACGCATGGTTAAATCGATACCAAACTTATTCACAGCAAAGAGCAGCTTTGCCAAATCATTTCTCACTTGAGATGAGCCAAATTCACCAGTTCCATCTCTATCAACACAAGTGAGCAGGTTTGAGTCCATTGCTGATGCAGTGTTTGTTCTTTTTGCATGGCTTAAACAAATATCACATCTCTCTGTAGGTGTCAACCTAGCATCTGCGACATTGCTTCCCTCGTACACGCCATCGTTAACCAGGTTGCAATAGCTTATGTCAAAAATTATACTGACAACCATGTTTTCAGGATTAAGAGGTTTTTCTTTCTGCTGATCATCTTGTAGACTCTTTAGAGCATCCACCATCACATTTGCTCGGTCCAGGTCACCCATCCATGCATACCATAAAGCTTGATATTCTGCCATTCCACAGAATCGCTCATAATTAAGAGGTGAAGTGATCTTTTTTGCAGCAATCTTTTTCCATGATGTAACTTGCTCATTTTCAAGAAGTATTTGGGTTCTTTGCTGAAGAAAATCCAAAAAACTCGTTGGTGTGCTCTGGTTCTGTTGTGGTGGGCGAGGGGGTAGGGGACAACCATGGTATATCAGATCTTCTTTTTCCAACAACCAGGTTTGTAATTCTGCTCGAAAACCTTGAAACTTGGAAGAATTGAGAGAGCGAGAGCTGGAGTGTTCGAAAATACTGCTCCAGAAGTCTTCGACAGATTTATATTTACATTGCTGCGCTACTTTCTTCAAACACTGGAAGGCATTCGCGGTGTCTCTATCCGGGAAGGCCAAGCCTTTCTCAACTGATTTCTTATGCAGTGGAAGCACGCAGAGAGCCGCTACCTCTTCCACAGGCGCAAAGGTCATCCGAATATACTTCTCATCTATGAAATCAATGTTGAATTTCATCCCAGAAATAACTTCGCTTTCCCTGAGATTAGAACCGAAGAAACCATCTCGTATCTCGCCTCCGATGTAGCCAAGTATGCAAGCCAATTCGTACACGGGTTTCGAGTGTTTTCGAGGTCTTTTCACGATCGCATTCACCATAAAATTTCCCCTTCCGTCTATATTAGAAACACAGGCCACTCCGTACTTGTACTGAGATAAAATTTCTGAATTTAAATAACGGGAAACATAATTCCCGGACTCATAACCATCAGGAACCGCCATTGTTTCAGCTGGTTAGAACTGGTTCATAGTAGCGCTCGCCACTTGTGCCCAGTGCGCATGCCTTCTGGCACTGTTTCCCGCCTTTTTTCCGCGGGCAGGCGGCATTCAAACGTGAAAGACACGTGGACGACATTTCGACTTAAGGCTTCTTTTAAGAGGGTCTCAATGGGGTTAACCGATAGGCGTAAAACAGCCAAAAATTTAGTCGATAGCCGTAAAGATTGAAAAATTTTAACCGTTAGCCGTAAATATGGTAAGAAAGAGTTAACCGTAAAAGAAATTGTTCCCTAGATTTGTTAGTTTTAAGGAAGGTGCTAAACTCACTTATGGTTTCGTTTTTATTTCCCGGCTGCTTTGATTGCGTACACACGTTGGGCCAAGCGCCTAGCTTTTAGGTGTTGACCTAGACCAAGGCTCCATTTTCGCCGCCGTTCTCTCGGGGAACTAATTTTTTCCATAGGGAAAATCTGGCTTCTTGCCGGGGATTAATATTTGAGATTTTCAGGAGGTCGTGCCCTCAAAATACTAGCAACACGCAGAGATGTCACTGTTGGTAAAACACGTCGCCGATAAACAACAATTCCATGTAACAATTCCCTGTTTTTCTCTGACGCTACGGCGTCTTCCCACGCAATCTCGGTCAAGGCATTTCGGTGGCGTATCTGAGAAGAAAACTCGCTCGGACCACGTGACCCGAAACGCATCAGCGCGGAATAATGAGGCCTACGGACAAAGCAACGGCAGACAGTCGTTCCGTACAGTCCTTCGCTATCATTAAAAACACTGGACTAGCTAGAAATAGATTATCCATCAGAGACTAGCCTGTGTACAGTCAACCCCTCCCCCACAAACACTCTATCTCCCTTCCTCCTTCTGAGGGGATGGGACGGGTGTACACAGGCTACCTGAAATGGATAATCCATCTTCAATTAAATTATACGTCAAACTTGACGGAGAAAGCCAGGCGTATTGTTCTGATTCAAAATTAAAACGAATTATCAAACGGATAACCCGTCTAACCCGAATAATCCGCCTCTAGTGTGAAAACGGCCATTTCTGTTATAAATGAATGTCGCGCCCCGGCCTTGAGTTGGGCGTTTGCGTGTCTGCTTTTGCTGTTTTACAAAGATTAGCTAAAGATTATTTTTACTTTGACTATTGACATTTGTATGCGTAAAATAATATTAGAAGTGGAATACTTTATACAAAGTATGATCTATCAAATGTTAAAATTTTTCAAAAGAATGGCTTATTTCATCCTGAGGTGATCCTAAGACCTTTATTTTGCTTTAAAGAAACAAAAAATACAGGTTTATTAATATTTAACTCCATGAAACAAAAGAAATTAATTTTTAATTTAGTTGTTAACCGTAACTGGAAAAAATTAACCGATAGCCGTAAAAGAGCCAAAATTTTAGCCGATAACCGTAAAAGCCACCACCCCATTGAGACCCTCTTTTAAGACTGTTAAGACTCCTTTAAGGGTGGATGTTATCATGGATAAAAGAAAGACTGGATAGGAAACTGGCTGACGTGATCGGTTCCAACATAGTGGAATTATGTGACGTCACATTATCGAGAGCCATTCAACCTCTTCCAGAACTGTATAAAACATGCTAAAAAGCGGGAATGAAAAGGTCAGCAGAGAAAGGAAATTTGCTTGCGGAGCAGCGTGGAAACGCTGTTTCTAACTTTCTCAAATCAATTTTCATAGTAAAGCGGCAAGTTCTTTTGTTATTTTCAGGTATAAATGTACCATTCCCTAAGGTAATTTTCAGTCAGGTCTTTGAAAAAGCGAACTGCAACGCTTTTAAAAATGTGATGTAAAACGGTTAATTGTTAACCACTAGTCAGAATACAGCTGGAAAGCAAACTCATGATTAATAGTAGGCCATGAACTTCTTTTTCATGAAGAACACTTGTCTTCCACTGATAAGGCTTATAAAGCTTAGAAATATATTTATTCTTTGAAATACTGACCTCTTTTTAGGATGAAACAACCTTTAAGTTTTTGTGACGTCATCACTTTAGTACTCTATTCATCTCAAAATTAGGTGAAAGAATTGACCTAATCGCGAAAAAGTTGAAAGGAAGACGTTCAGACTAAGAAACTTACGGAACAGGAAAATTGGCTAAAGGGTCTAGTACTGTTTTAAATACTAGATCTTTTAGCCATTTCAAAAAAGAAACAGGGAGAGAGATGGCGAAATTTTCATTCACTTTACGCTCCGTGTCTCATTTTGCGCCCCTTCAAGTTACCTGGGTCTTATCTGAACGCTTGAAACAGATACAAAATTAAAGGAAAGAAATCGAAACATCCATCTACCCACTACTGGCTGTTTCCAAATGGCCAGAACTCAGATCGAAGAAAACCTTCTTTTTTGTACCCATGCGCTCAGAAAAATAAATAAATAAATAGAGTTACGGTCGCTAATGGCTAAGTCAAGAACCTTAAACATCAAAGCTCCTTGTTGCAAGAAGGCTAGTCAGCTTAAACATTGTATAATGAAAGCAAGAAACTCGTAAAAAAAAATAGGGCGCGGGATCGGGATTCGGACGTAAAAAAAGGCGGGATAGCGGGATTAAGAGGAAAAAAACAAGCGGGAAGGCGAGATTTGAAAACCCTATTGTGGACCCTCCTAATTACTGGAGTTAAAAAAAGAGTTCGTTAGAGCGAGAACTTCGTTATATAGAGGTTCCACTGTAATATACATTTATACGTTCATATACATAATATCTTTGTTGGAATAAGAATCTTTCGTCATCTAAATTTATCATTGCTCCGTTTCGATCCTAGATCTGATGCGTAGTAAGCTTCAAAACGCCCGTCTTTACAAAACTGCACTTAGTCCTGGACTTTTGCGTTTTCAAACCAGCAAGGCTGTAGCATATGCAACGATGCAGAATGGAGTCTTTTTTTGAGGAAGGTTCTTGATTAAATCTGAAGACTACTCCACGGAACTATGGTTTCTTAAAACGAATTATATCGCCTGATGAGGGGGACGCATTTCGATCACATACTAGACATAATGAAGGGATTACAGGAACCTAAAGTGTAATATCATAATCTGAACACTTCTACTGGTGGATCCTGCATGTATTATCAGGCTCAGCAGGAGAAAAGTACTCCTGCCATACGGACGTTGAGCCCACAGTAACTAGCCTGCAGAGCAAGCGTTTTTTAACGAAAACTCGGAGGTACATTGATCGTGGCCGCCATCTTGAAAAGCAACGAAAAAGAGCCAACTCTCTGGTAGTATTAACGTCCAAGATGGCGGGACAACGTCATTCCTGAAAACAATTCATGGATGGCGCTCCAAAATACGCCTGCTTTGCAGGCTAGCAGTAACTGACGCAAGCAAAACTTGGTTTTCTTACATCACAGTATTCATTCATAAAAGGTACACTTTGATGTCAACTTAATGAAGCAGTTATTGAATTTTTTTCATCTCTCAAGGCTGTTCGTCAGAAGCTTTTTTCTTAAACAAACATTCCCACTACCAGCCTTTAACTTCCCCTATGAAAGGTTTTCTGACTGCTTCTTAGTCCCCAAGGCTCTCCCCCCTTAGGTGGAGCCTTAGTCCCCAGGGCTCTGCCCCCTTGGGCGGAGCCTTGTTTCAGCAGCTTGAATTTTATAAACATGTCTCCGCTCAACAATGACTCAAGAAAGGTTCAGTAATCTGAACAGCCACAAAGAGTAAACAGCCAAATTTGCCCCCGCCCCTAATTCAAACTAGGTGGTGCCCACACTTTAAAAACTGCTCTGCGGGCCCTGGTTTCTCACGTTTTCCAGATAGTGTCTCATTGAAAAGGAAAAATTAGGCTTTGGCTTGCCCAACCCCTCTAATCAATGCTGTGTCGCTGGTCAAGTTACCTGTAGGAAACAACAAACATGCTTATTTTGAATGGAGGAGGTCTCCATCACAATTAATAGTGGTTTTCAGGGAGGTACTTTAAAATACAGTATACTCAATTTTTGAAGCAAGGACCAGCTTACAAATAAAAACTACTGATAAAAAATCCTCTAGAATAAGATATAAAAAAGGACATAAAGTCACCCTTTTCAATGACGTTTCAATAACTACATAGTAAGACCCCTGTTTTTATGGAGAGGTTGACTTGATCACATGACGGATATTTCTTAGGAGCACCTACTACATTTTGAAAAAGTGAGCAACATAGGAAAACCAAAATGGAATTTGAAAGAATGTGAATTATCTTTATTAAGTGTCGTTTTCGCTGCTGTCAATATTGTAGTATAATAAAAGTCCCTGACAATGTATAAGGTCACTATGAAACTTAGCCTGGGTTCGAGCAAATTGGGGCAAATTCTCCATTAATTGGGAATTGCGATAGGCCCTCGGAGGGGAGAAGCACTTGACCAACTTTTGGGTACAGGTGAGCCACTGAGAGTCCCTTACCCTGTTTAGCACAAAAAATTCCTTAAATACATGCCCTGTTTAGGACAACTCTCTCAATTCTATTACGATGTCTAGGACAAGGCACAAAATGCATGCCGTCTCATATAAAAGCCATTTCCTGGCAATCGCTATAGGACGAATTCACTTTCAATATTTAAGTCATTGCTCTTGTATACCTGGAGCACAAACAAAATTAATCAAGCAAATCAAATCAATCATTCAGGCAATACACTGTTGCAGGGGCAGATCCAGGATTTTTTTTAGGAGGGGGTGCACTCGTCTCTTGCTCTACTTTAACACCAATAAACCACTTTTTTTTTTTTTTGGGCAGAATACCGGTTGTATCAGAAAACTGCAGGTCATCTCGGGGGGGCGGGGGGGCACACCCCCTGCACCCTCCCCCTAGATCTGCCCCTGTGTTGACAGACTCAAACAAAATTATATACCCTGTTTAGGACAGAGAAGTCAAACCAGTGGCACATCCCTATAAAGGCCATATAAGGGAGTACCCCACCCCCTCCCACGGGATAGGCAATGAGTTACACAGGAGCGGCTAACTCACGCGCGACCTCTTTAGACTATAGTCAATATGTAGAGCTTGCTCTCACACCATAATAAATGAAATTAGACAGCCACACATTTTCATACATACTATTAAGTTACATTATATTTTTCCAGATTAAAGAAAGCCGAGCAAGTTACAATTTACTGAAAAAGTAAACCTAATAAGCACCACACATAACTAATTTTAAGGTCTCTTAACCTGTCAACATTGCAGACCCTAAGTACTAACAAAATTTAAAATATGGTATCATAAAACTGCTTTAAGTCTTCTAAAATGCTGTCACTTTCATAACTACTTCATTACACCAAAATGTTGGTGTTTCTCAAAACATACTAAGCTAAATACTGTAAATCTTCTATCAAGCCCCCCAGGGGCTTATTCATTTCAAGCCCATTTGAGGGGGAGCCTATTTCAGAGGGGGTGCTTATTTACTTAAGAAAAGACGATGGTATCATTTCTCCATAATGAACTACAATACAAAGTGCAAAAGCTCAAGTACAAGAAGGTTGGAGGTCATGCGGCAGAGGATCAGAATCAAATCTGAACTTCCAGCTGGTAAATAAACCATCCCGGATCAGTCCACATGAAGTTTCACAGTCTTGATTGATTTATACAGTCTGTCATATATTAGTGAGAGAGGGGGGAGCTTATTAACTTTCTTCCCCTGAAAAGGGGGGGGACGTTATCAGAGGGAGGGGGCTTAATAGAGGATTTACAGTATATGTTTCTAACATGCAATACTACAGTTTATCAAACATTTATCAATATCAATGCCATATAATGCAAAAAGGTTACTTGATACAACAAGATAAGAAATAAGATAATAATAGACACTCCAACTTTCGTACAGGAAACAGTACAATATTAAAACAATTATATTACCTTGTAATACCCACTTATCTTCTGATATTGCCCCTTTCTATCCCGCCAAAAGCTATGTTTTGTCTCTTTCTTTTCTTTTGTTTCTTTCAGTTATCAACAGACCTTCACAGAAATAACAGTAAACATGAACAGCTAAAATATGGTCGGTAGAAGCCATAGATGAAATCTCTAGTTAAACTGTTTCAATGATGATAGCACTTCTAGGGTACTATTTGCTTTTTGGCATTTACCAAATAAAGCCGTTTTTCCATAAATTTTGATTTAAGGCTACTCTTTTGAGTGAAAGGGGTATATTTCAAATCATTACAGTAGGTATATAGGACCCTTTTTTTAGGGTATAGTCTCCTGGAGGCAGGGAGCAATGCATGACTCTGACCCTATCAGCTGCAAACAGGACTATTATAGGGCAAGGCTGTCACTAAGAGTACAAGTTCCGAGTATATGCAATAAGAGGGCAGGAATTTGAATGGCTAGGAAGTTCTTTATGTTATTTTCCTTTTTGTTTCCGCTCTTGACGCAGCTAGGGGTCATGCTCATGGTACCCAGGGGAAATTCCATGCACCAGGCCTTTAGTGACAGCCCTGTAAAAGTCTTATGAACACCTAAGTGACATGAGTCAAAACTTAAAAGTACTGAAACTGTCTAGTTTGTACTGAGAAATCAATGACAAACTAAACTAAACTGGCCTGCATGGTCTTCAATGGCCAGTTAAAATAATATTGAAACTATGGTTAATAGAATTGAATGATTCTGAAGTCCATCAGGCTTCTTGCTATGCATTTGTGGACGTGATGGTGGACAATGGTCAACAGTGTTTCTATCATTTTGACCTTACTAACCAATAAAAGACGAATTTATTTAGTCGGTCAAAATTTGTGAATAAAAAAAAGGATTGTGCACCCTCAGGGAGTTCTCAACACAAACTGCAGCACTTTTTATCTTTGATGTTTGTTGCCTTACAAAACTGGTCTTCTCCACTAACTATTTTGAAACCAGCAAGCTTGTGAGAGAGCTCATAAATATTCCTTAATTTTTTTTTCCTTTACCTTTGCTTTTTCATTTTAATTTTTTTTTTAATTTTACTTTTTTTAGCCTAACTACGATTAGTACGACTATCTAATATATTTTAAGATGCACTGTAGCTCTGCCATTGATTCCATGTGTAAATATGATAATATTTTGTTCTAATTATTTAACTGAGGGAGCCCATTCCTTATAAGCCCGGTGGCTTCCCTTGGGCTTCCTCGCCATGAGAGTTTTCTCTTGCTTTTGTACAACTTAAGGCAAAACAATAAACTGAACTCTGAGTCAGGGGTAGGGGTGGGGGTGGGGAAGGCATGGTCACAGGCTTGAAGTATGCTTAAGTGATCCTGTGACGAATAGTTCTCACCTCCAGCCCACACAATAACTGGAACATTTTAAGGTTACCTCTGTATCGCAGGGAAACTAATGACATGGTTGGATGGCCAGGCACTTGGCTATTACACAAAATAGACTGTGGCAAACTGCAATAGAGAATTCCACAGCCTCTTCATAAACATAGTAGCAATATAGACTACTACCATACTACGTTTACATGCAGCTGTTACGATTTTTGAAGGACGATCAACAGGTTATCCCTATATTCAAGTGACTGTGTCACGGTTGTCTAGTTCATAGAGCTACCTGTGGGAAACACTCCAACTTTGAATGGGGTGAGGGTGTGGTGTGTTTTGTTGTCTGAAGTCACTGTTTGAGTAGTCTCAACAATTTTGTTGCTAAGTGCAGCTGCAAGTACAGAGCATTAGTACTCATTCTTTAGGTTTTACATCTGATGAGCTGAGAAGCAGAGGTAGATTTTTAGCCACTCATCTGGCCTGATTGCTGCAACATGGTCACTCAGACTTAGATTAAGTTGCATTTAACAACTTGTCACAATCAGCACCTTCTTCAATATGGCCTTATCATTAAAAAACCAGAATAAATGAAAAACAGCAAAGTCATTTTTACATTTGGCCATGGATGGTCTTAACTGCACTTCACTGTGACTAAAGCAATTCACAGTTTCAACACTCTGCTTAAAATACTAATTATCAAAAGGCTTGATTTCCAAAGATACTCTCCTAAGACAGACTCTTGGGGGATGAGTCATTTTCCCAAACAGCCAATGGTAATCAAGCCTATACTCAATACATACAATGGTTATAAAGAATTTAGTTGTTTAACTATTAAACCTCATGCCTGTTTTGCAGTGGAACCACATTGTTGCTTGTGACCTGCTTTCCAGTCTTGAACTTGGCACTTTCTGCTACAGTAGTAAACATTTTTACATCCCCCGCACCTCTTGAATTCTCCAGGCTTTAACTCTTTTTGCCCACAAGTTGGACAAATTTGAAAATCAGCTTTTGAATTGTCTTTCTTTTGTAATTCAACAAACCCTTGGCACAAACTCATTATCATCAATGGATAGATATCTTGACAGGCCTTGTCACACAGCAGTGCCAATCGTGGACAGGAGGAAAACTCTTCCAAGTTAATTGAACTCATTTTGGTGTTAACATATTCAAAATCCAAGGCAAGCATGCGCTCAGTATTGTTCCCATCTTGGTCCAAACACATCTCTTCATTCAAGATTACATCCCCAGTTGGAGAGCACTTATAGAATGGCACAGGATTCTTGTCACTGGACAAAATAGCAACAAAATGCTTGTAAAACTTTTCAGGATCTTTGCAAGGACAAAAATCATCAGAACAAACCTCTGGAATATGATCATTCTCACTGTTTTGTTTAGATTCCACAGCTGGCTCAGAACAGTTCTCGGCACTGCCAGGGTGTTTTTCCTTACCACAGCTATCTTCTGATGTCAAATTGCTCTGAGCTACTGTTTTATCTTCGGCGTCTTGGTTTAGACAGTTTTTCATTTGGCGAGTATACAACTTTTTCACCTTTTCAAAGGTCCGATTGCATGTTTTGATCAATGCTTTCGAATCTGTCGTCAAAATTTTCTGTCTTTTTGCTTCGGGAAGTAAAGTCCATTTGCCTTGGAACTCTGATGCAAAAGAAGGTACCATGGTCTTTGATAAAAGGTCAACACCCACATCTTTTGGATTTTTACCACCATCTGCTTTATCATTTGTCTCTTCTGCTGACATTTTGTGAAACTCAAAAACAATAAGGCCAACTCTGGAACCAAACTGGCAACAGACACTACTGATTTGATCTTCTCCCAATTTACTGCTGCAGTGCCGTAACATGGCTGCTTTCAAAATAGATTCACAGGAACTAGGAAATGTAGAGAGATCTAATTCCCTTTTGGCTTTATCAGATAACAGCTTGACAATGCCTGGAATGGCTTCAGCTTCTGTCGCATCCTTCATGGGTTTTGTTGGCTTAATTCTCCAGTAGAAGTTATTAAAAGAATGCGCCAAAAATACATGAAGAGCTTCCTTAAAACAATGTGTCGCTGAGGTCTCAAAATCATGGTTACTGCCAAATGTGAAAATAGCAAACAGCAATTTAACCATGTTGTCGCGCACTTCTTCTGCACCAAGTTCAGCTTTACCCTCTCTATCAACGCATGTCCTTCCATAACGATCTCTAATAGCGTCAAGATTTATCTCGTATCCAGGACTTGAGCAAACATCACACTTACTTTCACGCAATAATCTGGCATCTGGTTTACTATATCCATGATATAAACCTGCATTTGACAGATCATTATGTGTTGTATTCAAAATAACCTCAATCGCTGGATTTTTTGTATCAAGAACATTTCCTTTTTTCCAGTCATCTTCAAGTCTACGCCAAGAATGAACCATAACAGCAGCTTTTTCTAGTTCTCCTTTCCAGATGTACCACAATGCTTGTTGCTTGGCCATGCCACTGAATCGCTCATAGTTGTCTGGGGTTGTCAATTTTTTTGCTGCAGTTTTCTTCCAGGTTTCACAATCTTGATATGCTTTGATCACCCAAGTTGCTTGCTCCCACATTTCTGGAATGACACGGCATTCCAGAATGCTGCCAAACCCTGAAGCAGCAGGCCAGTTTGGTGGATCGGGCGGAAATGGGCACTTGTGGAATTCAATCTCCACCTCGTCAATGGACCAATCTATTTCATTTGATACAGTGTCACGAGCTTTTGTAATGTCACGGCCCGAAAGACTTCTAAGCTTTGAACGAAAACAATCCTCGGGTGAGGAATAGTGGCAATACTGTGCAGCTCGCTTAAAATATTCAAAAGCACCAGCAGTTTCGGTATCGGGGAATCCAAACCCTTTCTTGATAGATTTAGTGTAAAGTGGAAGCAAGAAAAGGCCAGCAACATCTTCTACGGGCCCAAAAGCCACTCTTATTCGCTTCTCTTCAAGGGTAGAAACCTGTGATTGCATAAATCGGACAGCTTCACTATGTTCCAAGTCTTCTTGGCTAAATCCGTCTCGAAACTCGCCTCCGACATAACCCACCATGGAAGCGAAATGAAACAAAGGTTTGTCCTCGTTTTTTGAGCTTTTAAAAAGCGCGTAGATTGACACATTTCCTCTTACATCTATATTTGCCACACAGGCCAAGCCATGCTTACATTTCGACAGAGTATCCAGGGAGTATTCTATCGGTTTGTTCTTGGATTTGTCCCTTTTATCCTTCTTCTTCGACGACGCCATTTTACCACTAAAAGCATCGCGTGTCGTCCCCAGGTCCTTGGTCCTTTGGAATGTTCTAGACATTGAACAGTCCGGGGCTGGTTGGGGTGGGGGGAGGGGTTAATTCCAATGAAGGTGGGGGTGGGGGAGGCTGCTGATGCACAGCAATTGGGATCAAGACTCTGCGTTGACTCTGCGCCAAGCCTGTTCTAGTGTGACATAGGTCACCCAAACATAACCGTAGGGTTTTAAAATGAGAAAAATCCTTAAATGTGGAAGTAATGTTTCCTGGTATAATTTGTTTATCACTCGCCTTCAGAAAAGTTTAACATTTTTAAGCACAATTTGAGTGATGTCATATCATCTACACAAAAAGAGTGATGTTAAACTACTCACTACTCAAAAATACAAACATGAAAGTTTGTTTTGATTTCCGGAGTAGGGAATTATTCACCAAATGAAATTTTTTAAGGATTTCTTTTTCATAACTCCATAAGTTGCATCTTACTGTGCTTTTCAAAAACACGCAAACTATAAAGTTCAAAAGTCGCCGTCACAATTGTGTTTTTTGCTGCCGTCAATCATAATTACAATCACAATCAACAAACCTTGAAACAGAGAAACACACAAAACAGATCAAAATCTACCAATTACAAATCACAAACCATGACCTTTAGAGCCCGTTAAAGTCAACTTCTGTTTCCTAAGAGATCCGCTAAGATGATTGACAGCAGCAAAGAATGCAAACATCAGTAGGCTTTTGAAATGCAGGATTGTGTGTTTTTGGAAAGCACAGTAAACTGTTTCAATCTTTGCATTTACTTTTTCATAACTACTATTATAGCATGAAATTCAAACATGACAAGACAAAAACTACTAAAATATTAATGTACGCTCACAACCCAGGCGGGGGGGAGGGGGTCATACATTTTCAGGATTTTGGGGTCAGAAAATTCAGGTATGTGGGGATTTAAAAATAGAAAGATTTACATAAGTGTAACAGATGTGTTAGTTCATTTCAGGATTGCCAAGTTAAAAGGCTTTAAAAGGTAGATGCATAAACAGAAAGTGACTACGTTGGGATTGTAAAAATTACTTTTTTCCCGAAACGACTAAGATGGGGTCTAAAATATAGCCACAGAATAGCCTATAATGGGGTAGGGGTTGTAAGAGCCCAGCCGCACAAACCCAGCAGAAATTAACCCAAGTAACCCCCTTTGGACTCGCACAATAACCTTTTATTTGTAATCACTATGATGTTTGTGAGAATTATCATTTCAAATAATCACTCAATAGAAACTGAAACTGAAGAAATAACAAATTTCTTCATTTAAAATACTATGCCATCACCTGATTCTTGACTTTAACAATATAGCAAATACACTCTAGTATGTCTAATGGACAAATATGGCATTAACAGTATAAAAATCAATGAATATGACAAAAATAGCATTTTTTTTTCTTTTGGTTATATATATTTTGATATAGATTTCATGAGTGAATTTGAAATTCAGGTTAAAATGGTTTCAGCCTAGATTGATTCTTATACTTCATTTGTTTCCGAGCCCTAATTATTCATGATTAAGGATAACATTATTAGAGCTAGAAAACAGGGAAAATTGAGAACCAACCTAAGATGAAATCGTTTTAATCTGAATTCACTTTGACCTACTACATAGACATAAAACACATTCTTGACCCACTTTACAGTGCGACCAGGAAAACCGTGAACACTTGAAATATCTCACAAATGTTATTGTCTTGCAAGAGAAAAGCCAATCTGGCGTAAGAAAACTAAACCGCAAGTGTTCATGGTTTTCCCGATGGCACTGTAAATAGTACATTACTTCATACAAGCTCAATAAGCTCCATTGTGTTTTTTAACTTCCCAGATTTGTCCCTTAGTTACAAATATTGTTTAGTCATGAGCCTCAAAATCATTTTTTTAATGGTCAAACAAAATCTACATTAAAATTGTTAAGGTTAAGCTCTTATTTAAGGGCTAGGGTTAAGCGCCGTTTAGGGTTAAACACTTATTTACAACGGTTAGCATTCAGTTAATGTTTTCCGTATTACTGTTTTCGATTTTTATGGTGTTTTTTCAATGATTCTTCAATGGACTGCATTGCTGGCATGACTCGCTGGCTCGCATTTTATACGCACTCAACTTGAACCATTAGGGTGTTATCATAGCAACGTTTTTAGGCTGATAGTAAACTGTTAATGTTTTGTTAAATTAAAGCCTCTTAAGTTTCCATTTTACCATAGGCAAGTAATATCCTTAATTAAAGCAAGAAGATTAAATTCATTTTAGATTGGCTTCAGCTTTACATGTATATCCAAGTTCAAAGTTAAGGATTTTCTTTATATTAACCCTAATCAGTAAAATGAGTGCTTAACCCTCATCAGTATAATGAGTGCTCAACTCCTCATCCCTAAATTTGCAGTTTTTACTTGTGTTTCCTTTTTTTTTACCAATGCCTTGCATCACTCGCATGGCTCACTGGCTCGCAGTTTGTCAAGACCTGTTCAAGTTCGGCTTGAGATCTTTTTAGTCATTGCAGACTTGTTCAGACTTGTTCAGATCTCTCTTTCAGCAGCCTTGGAAATAATTTGTTCAGTTTCAATCTTTTGAAGCTTTAGGTCCAACCAACTGACTCTTTTGAATGTGCCAACCACAGGTGCCCCAAACTCAAGTCACAAGGAAAGTGAAAGGTGACATGGGGCGTTATCTTTCGATGACTTGGTTTTGCAGTACAGTCAACTGTGGTATTAACAAACTAACCCTTATTTACCACTCACAGATTTCAGTATTTCAATTGTCATGCTAGACACCTCTTTTAATTCACTAATTGAGTAAACACTAAAATGTCACATTCTGTGTCACCTACAGCTTTCCTGGTAATGAGAGTTTGGACCGCATGTGATGTTTACATCTACAACTCTATGATGTTGACAATAAAGTGAATAACAACTAATTATCAAGTGTTAAATAAATTGTAGCAAAAAATGTTGTTCCATTATTATAAATAGCGGGAAAATAGGTGCTTTCAGCAACTGAATTGCATTCAATGGTTTATCTTGGCAATGTTGTCTTTTCATTGGCAGTGTCCAATGACTGGGATATGGCATCAGAGGATTCATATAGTAAACAGAGAGGCAAAATGTCAACTCACTGATCCAGTCCTCTGCAAAGTAAAAAAAATAATGATAATCTAAAGCAAATGTCAAAGTATCTTCACAGTTATAACATGACACAACAGGCCTTTCCTAAAAATGTCATAGTATTCTTTAAGTGTGGATCCTTGCCTGATATTCAGAAGGAAACAACCTCCACACAAGCTGCACATACCTATCAAAAGTTTTTGGTCCATTTGTTTGACAGTACAAGATAATAAATTGGCCAGCGTGTCTGGCAGAGGGAGAATGGGTTGCAAGAAATTTTCAAACCAAATTTTTAATAACAAAATGTTTTGTTCCAGAAAACTTCTACAACCAGCCCACGGAGAGTACCTGGAAATTCCTATGGGGAGGAGGGGAGGGGTTAAAAGTGAAATTTGTATAGCAAAGTTTGAAGCTACACTGGAATTTTGAGAGGGGTGGAAGGGTTCAAACCAAATCAGGGTGTTCATTAGGCATCGGAGATTGGACAATTCTCCGTTTACTATGAAAAATTCTCCGGCTGATGTTTGGTAGCCTGTGACTAATTTTACTCAGATGAGGAGCCTCTTTCAAAATATTTTCCTGTAACGTTACAACCTTCTCCTGCTACTAGAATTGTTGATGAAAACCCTGCCAACTATATGCTGTACTCATAGTGTAGAGTATGGTTATTTTTAGAAACAACACAATATTATCAATTTCACTTTATAGTAAACAATTGGATAGTTGTAACTTTTGAGTCTGTGCATGAAATCATGCTATGTGACCATTCAAATGAAATGTCTTTCTTGCTGCTTTCACAGGATGCTACACTTTCTGCTTCTCAGCATTTTGACAAAATGAAATTTGGAAATTTTGTCAGATTTCGACTTTTCTCACTTTTGGGAGTCATGAAAGGGTTAAGGTAAAAGTTTTTTTGAGCTTACCGGTTTAAACACCTTTGTTTTGTGCTTTGCACTGCTGTTTATGATCAGCTTTCCAGTCACGCGCTTGACACTTCCGACCACAATAAAAAACACTTCTGCAACCACCACATCGCTTGAAGTCTCCAGGCTGACTCTCAAGAGTGCCACAAGCTTGACAGGGTTGGCATTCAAATCTGATGTTGTCCTTTCTTTCTATTTCTCCAAACGTATTGATGACATTCTCCATCAGCATTGGCAACAAACGATGACATGTAATACAGCAAAGCAAACAAAGCCTAGGGCACTTATCAGAGAACACTTCATCATTGATTGTACAGGTGGAGCCATGTGCAAACAGCTCTTCATTCATATCCACCATTTTATCAAAGAATTCTCCTTCCTGGTCAAGGCAATGCTCTTCCTTCAACACTAAATCTCCACTGACAAGGCAATTATAGAATGGAATGGGATTTTTTTTACTAGTTAAAACGCCAACCAAGTGTTGCCAAAACTTGTGATCATCCTTGCAAGGACAGGACTCATCAGCACACTTTTCAGGTGGCTTCCTTTCTCTTTCATCTTCCTCTGGTAAACCTGTTGATAATGCTGCATCAGATGAAAGATTTGAAGCATTTTTTTTGTAATCATCCCCCTCAGTATTTCCATTTTCAACCATGGTTGTTGCTGTTGACTCTTCTGTCTCGCTCTTGCTTTTCATTGGTCCTGCTTTACCTTCCATGCCACATCTGTTACCTATCATCTCCATCTGCTCAAACGTTTCACTGCAAGCTTGAACAAGACATTTTGCATCCACTGTCAACAGCTTCTTCCTTTTAGAGTCAGAAAAGAGCCTCCATTTATGCTTGAATTGCTGGGCCATAGATGGAGCCACAGTTTTTCTGAAAAGATCCATACTGGCATCTTCTTCAGTCAACTTTTCAGCTGGGTTTGTGGAAGCATCTTCTTTGACCAGTTTTTTGAACTCTGCCACAACTTTCTTCATCTTTGAGTGGAACAAGTCACACAACTTCTTGACATCTCTTTCACCAAGCTTCCTACTACAATGATTAGAAAGAGCCTCACTTAACACAACACTACAGGAATTTACCCATTCAGACACATCTAACTTCTCCTTAGTTTTCAGCAACTGTATGAACCGCGGCACTGCTTCTTTCTCAGTAGCTACTGTCATGGGATTTGTAGGCTTGATTCTCCAAAACAGAACCTGAAAGGAATGCTCGAGGAAGGTGTGGAGGGCTTCTTTCAGGCAGTGTATGGCAGAAAATGTGAAATCTTTATTTATTCCAAACTTAGACACAGCAAAGAGCAATTTTGCCACATTCTCACGCACAGATTTGCAGCCAAACTCACCATTTGCATCTTTGTCAACACAAGTCATGACGTTGAGACCTTGGCGTTTCTTTGTTGGGGATACAGGACTCAAACAGGTGTCACATTGGCCTTTAGGGGTCAATCTGGCATCAATAATGCTCTGACCTAGACACATTCCTCGACTTGAGAGATTTGCCAGGGTTGCACCAAGAATATGATCAATAACAACATTGTTCACATCAAGGAGAGCTGCTGTTTTCTTGTCTTTCTCTAGCCCTTCCCAGGCATCTACCATCACCTTAGCTCTTTCAGTATCACCCATCCATATGTACCACAAAGCTTGCTGCCTGGCCATGCCTCCAAATCTTTCATAGTTAAGTGCAGAAGTGAACTTTTGCACCACAGTTTTCTTCCAAGACTCTGAATCGTCATAGTTGCGGCTCCACTGGGTGGCCTGTTGCAAGAACCCTGACATGAATTCCTCTGCACTTGTCATGGAACTTAAGCTGGACAGGTTAAGAGTAGGGGGCTGGGATGGTAAAGGACAGTCATGGTACAATAACTCAGACTTTTCTAGCCACCATGATTCTAATTCAGCTCTGTAGTTACTGAAGTTCTTACTATCGACATTTCGTGGGCTTTTTCCAAGTTTGGCATCAAAATACTCCTCTACATTCTTATAGGGACAGTAATTGGCAACCTCCTTGAAGTACTCAAAAGCACATGCAGTGCTCTTGTCAGGAAAATCCAAGCCCATTGAGAGCGCTTTTTGGTGCAGCGGCACTACGAACAAAGCGGAAACCTCTTCGACGGGACAGTACACCATTCTGATGGTTCGCCCTTGTGAAAGATCAACGTGCGTCTGCATTAACCGAACAGCTTCGCCTTCCTTTAGATTCGCATTGCAGAAGCCATCTCTTATCTCGCCGCCGACATAACCCAGAATGTTGGCATAATCGAAGATAGGTTTTGGTCTCTTTCCTTGCCTCCTCATCACGGAGTAAATCGACATATTCCCTCTACCGTCCACATTCGAAACACATGCTACGCCATATTTGTACCTGTATAAAAGTTCCTTGGTAAAGTTTGCAGACGAGTAACAGCCCAATTCATAACCATCAGGTAAGGACGCCATTTTTGCTGCTGTCACTTGGAAATTTGAGAAACTGTCATACACCACGTGGGTAGCGTTTCCCGCCAAATTTTACTAACAGGGTGGGGACTAGTAGAGAGCGTCAGAAATTAAGGCTCCTTGAAATTTGTTAAGTTACCGCAGGAAGCAAAACCTACAATAGTTTTGAAATGTACAGAAGTATCTATAAATGTCTTGAATTATTTGCTCTAACTTTCTTCGAACTGATTATGGCAAAATACGACAACTTTTCCCTCTCTCTAGACCCTGATGAGTACATAAATGTTTCTGGCCCATCGTGCTCTTCGCGCAAGGAAATTTAATTTTTTAGCGCGAAAGCACTGGTGGCGAACTTTCGAGGACGTTGAGAAAGCGAAACGTGAAAATGGCTCATGGTTTAAAATTTTCCCCGAGAACTTTGTCAAAATACAAGCACGGCGTAGCGTATGTATCAAATGTAGATGGAAGAGGCATTTTCTCTGTTTATGGAATTTTCAAGAGAGGGCAAAAACCTTCATACGACCTCGTGAATATTTTGTGCTACGTTGCGGGTGAAATTCGTGATGGCTTCCTCGTGGAAAGACTAACAGAAAACGAGTTAGTTCCCATACTTGAGAGTACTTTTCGTTTGGCCGTGGGAAAAGCAGTTTTTCAACCAGTTGCCATTGAGGAAGCAGCAAAACTTTTGGTTATTCCTTGCTACGAGAAGGCAAAAGCAAGAGGGGTTGAACTCCTCTCAAATTGCGAAGACGAAGTACAGCGAAGTTTTGAATTCTACGAACGTGTTTCGCGTTTTTGTCCCTACAGCAGCGAAGAAGAGTTTGTAATGGCTAAAGGAGGAAGCGAAGTGAAGAAAACATTTTCTCATTTAGACCTTCGCCGCCGCGAGTTTGATGCTTGGTGGCTGGAGAAGTCAGAACTCGAGCATCTTGGATGTGCCCTCCCAGTTCCACCTGTAAACTACCCAGAATCTGGACAACTTCTTAGTGGTGGCGGTATGATTGACTTTATGAGCGAGGTGAACAATCAGAGGAGCAAGATCTCAGCCTGGAAGAAGAGAACATTAGAAAAGTTCAGCATTCCTGTGAACTTTGAAAGACTTGTTGGTATATCTAGACATCAAGCACTGTGGTATACTTGGAAAGGAGATCTGAAAATGGGTGTCACTATGCTTGAATCAGCCAAAAAGATTTGCGATGACCAGAGCTCGGAGCGAACAATGAATGCAAGGATTCCTGTTGTGGAACTGTTCCTTAACCTAACACAAATCAAACTGGCGAGAATGGGAGAGTGCGAAGGGCAGTTCAACAAGGTTGATTGGCAGCTGTCAAAAGGTCCTCAGTGCAAAATATGTCATGCTCCAGCAAAGACAGAAACAAATGATGCTTCTCCAGGAACATGGATTTTAACTTGTGTAGAGAAGGATGGAAGAGGGAAAATTGGAACTGACGCCACAAGGAAAACTCTTGTTACAGCACTAGCAATTGTTAAGCAGATTAAAGATCTGAGCAAGTTTCAGACTACTGTTGAGTATAGCTTAAAATACAGCCTTGAAATCTTCCTAGAACACTCCTTTGTGAATCTTTACTGGGAGAAGAAACCAACTCCTCCAATGACAGAAGTTCTTGTTGATGAAGCAGTAATTTTGTTTGTCAAAGCTATTGACAGTGAAAATTTTGATCCATATGGATGGGGAGAATCCTGCAGAATAATCTTGCAAGAGTTGATGTCGAAGCATTGCAATGAGAAACTTTCAGAGGGAACTATCAGTGATGTTGCACAACTTTTCAAGAGGGCTTTTGAATCTCAGATAGTCCAAAATATTTATAAGATTCAAGAAGTGCCTCAGTATGCCAGTCTTCATGACGACACAACCTCCTTACACCAGTTAAGCTCAGTTATGACTGCAATGTCTGTGGCTCCTTCCATTGCCAACCAGTTCCTTTTTAAGTGGCAGGGCAAGACAGATAAAGAGAAGAAGAAAGCTCTCTCTGGAAGTTTTAATGATTTACTTGCTGCAACAAAGAAAGTGTACGGGAGTTATCTAAGAAACAACCTTCCTCCTTGTCTCAGTCAAAACAGTGGTTCCTCTCAATCTGTTTGCAACAAAAAAGAATGCGCTTGTCAAGACCTTGCAAAATTTCAAGATTATGTTGTTGATTTGTTATCCAGTGGAAGAAACCCTGTCTCATTCCTCAGCTGCTCATCAGAAGGAAATGTAACATTAACAGCGGCTCTGTTCATGGATAACTCTGGTGAGCTGATTAGTGACATGATGTTGTGTCATGACATGTACATTTATGAAGAGATTATGGATGTTGACAACCATGAGGAGTTTGCAAAATGCCCCCATCTAGCACAATTATGCAAATTTGCTTGTGGTGAGATTTATACCATGTTAAAGGTGAGGATGGTTGCTGACTTCAAGGAAACCATATGGAGGAAGAATGCCTCGTTAGAAATGCGTCACTGCTTCTGCTGTGGGCAGATGGCTAGCGAAGATGTCAACCTGTTGAAGTGTGGTGCATGTAAAGCTGTTGTCTATTGTACGCTGGAGTGTCAGAAGAAGGACTGGAAGGCTGGTCACAAGCAAAAATGTCACACTCTCAGAAAGCCTTGATTTTGCCATGAGGTATGTACATGCACAGTGGAATCCCCATTTTTCACACATTTTGGTGATTAAAAAATTGCTTCCCAAAGATGGGTATAAAATGACAGTGTCTTAGAGAAGGGACTCATCTTTGGTTTGAATTATCAGGAGGTAGAGAAATTTAGGGTTAGAGAAATTAGGATTCTGCTGTAGGTATTTAAACACTTATTGGTTGAGTCTTTCCAATCACTTTAGTAAGAGTATTGTTAAGTAGGTGGAGCATGATCACCTGGGTGATCATAGTCCCGAACAGGACTGTTGTTGGCAGTGACCAACGTTTTGCCAACCTGTGTGGTAGTCATCTTCAGAGTCAAAGTGAGTTGTATCATATCTGTTGATGGTATTTGACTCTGGTCATTGACCTGATTGGTCAATTAAGTCGCAATGTTATGACCAATCAGGTCAATGACCAGAGTTTAATACCATTCACTCTGACTCTGAAGATGACTACTGCACAGTCACTCATGTCAACAACAGTCCTATTCAGGACTACAATCACCTGGACGATCATGCTCCACCTACTTATGAAATGACTCCTGGGTTAAAACCTTTCACAAGAGTCCCCTTGTTAAATATTTTTAATAATTTTGTTAATATCAGGCTTCACAGTTGGAGTTACACTTGTCCTTTTTTCTGCAGGATTAGGCCCTTTACTTCATTAAGAATAAAATATTGTATGTTTGAGTGCTTTTCTCTAAGATAAAGTTTTCTGTGGGGCAAAAATAGGGAGAAAAAAATTCAAAAGAAGCAACCATGACATCTACCAGAGTTGTCATTAAGAGCCGGGGGCCGGGGATTTTCCCTGGCTACTAAGAGAGTGGCCCCCGGCTACTTTTATTGGAAAATAGAAGAAAAATAGAACCAAAAGAAATCCCTAGCCGTTTGATTCTCCGCCTACTTGTTGTATTTACCCAGCAACTTGAAATCTTAGTGACAACCCTGCATCTACCATGGTATTTATACAGAAATAAACACCTTGTTTAAGGAGTAAACTTACTTATCAGAAGAGTGTAGTGTTGGGAATCAGTCAAGATTTCATATCGTTCATCAAAAATAATCAGATTGACCAAACCAATCAATCATTGATCATAATCAGAAAAATCTGTTTATGAGAATTCAAATTATCATAATATCTTGGAAAAAAAAATTCCTAATTTTAAACTTAGTTTCTTGTTTCAAGTAAACCTCAACAGCCATTTCGTAGTCTGTAAACACAGATGTATTTCCAGTCGTCGCTTCGATCTCTCCACCCGAAAAGTAACCTTTTTGGGTGGAGAGAAGCAGTGACCAAAAGAACGTCTGCATTCAAAAGGGTAACCATTTCAGGGCTTGAAAACAGTCCTTTCTGGTAACCAAGGACAAGTAGATTTTCTTTCTGGGTAAGCAGCCTCTGAAGCTCACTTGCCTGATAGACAAGGGTCCAGAGCAAGTCATCTTGTATTATGTAACTAAATCATTAACTAAGGCAACCAACTAATGGCCTTGGGCAAGCAAAATGTGAAAGCTGCTGAATTTTTACTTGTTTTTCAGCCCTGCTGTTTTCAGAAACTATTGCTTTCTTAGCATTTTTCAGTTTGAAAATATAATAATAATTGAAAGTTGAATTTCTTATATCGTAATGGGCAAGATGAACCATAATTGATAAAATTATCCTGTTGATCACTGTGATAATAGAAGCTGTTATTTTTCTAGCTTATCACATTACAAGTGCATCAGTGGTGAAGTGTGGCTGATGCATTCTAAGATTAGAAACTGATAAATGGCAACCCTACCTGAAACATTTCCAGACACAAAACATTTGCAACCAGCAAATATAGCCTAACTGTGGCTGGAGTTATAATGCCAAAGCATTATAAGTCCAAAATAAGTCCGTATAAAGCAGGCATACTCCTCTGTTCAATATATAAAAAATTTCATAAAAGAACAGTGACTAATACAACATATCCAAAAGCAAGACATTACCAGCAAAGAAAGGAAGGTATTGTTTACCAACAAAATTGAAGTAAGACTTACTAATAACCAACACATTGTTAGGGAAAGTTACCAAGCATTTTGTCAAGTTTCAATGCCACTTATAGCAATTTGCAAAAACAAATTTAAGAAAGTTTGTACTACTTGACCTTCCTGATATCACGTTTTAAGAGGAGTGGCAATGTCAACAGGTTTTTTTGCTGATCACAGGTTAAATTGAATATGCAAAAGCTTAGTTGCAGTTATAAATTCATCTAAATGAAAAGAAGATCATCACAAGAGAGATGGAACTGTATGAGTTGTATCTTCTTTGCACTTATTTCTTTACTCTGGGGTTTAAATATATGACGTTCATATAATTACTCATAATCTTCATTTCATAAATCCATCTGTGGTGCTAACTATATTGACAAAAAATTGACTAGACAAATGATAATCTAAAAGAATGTACATGTAAAGGCCATTACTAAATAACTGGTCAAGAACTAAAACGATTTAATACACATCATAAATTCAAATTTAACTTTGCAAGCTCCCAAGTTTATCTCAAGTAAAGAAGTGTTTTCGTTGTTTGTAGGTGAACAATTGTTACAAAACAACTTGCAGCCAGTGTAAAGGTGGATTGTTCAATGTTGTTGTTGACCTCGGAGCTTCCTCACAAAATGTACCAGGATTTTTAATTTCATGCAAGATATACAAAGATTTATGTCCTTTTCACAGTCTCAGTTAACTACAGCATTCAAATTAGAACATGGTTTACTTTTCCTTCGGAGGAGGTAACATTGTCTCCAAAACGTTTGTTACTTTGTTTTCTTGGAAACGTTTTTTCCTGTAAATCCAAGTTTTCACTTGTGTATTTGAGGTGGAATTACATTTCTTTCTTATCTGTGGATTTTGCAGCATTTGACCCTTTTTCATTTTTTTAATACATTTATTACCAGTGGTCATTCTTTCTATCCTGAAATTTGGACACTGTACCCTGGACACAAATAATGAATTAGCCAAACTAAAAAAACTTTATGCATTTATGTCAAATAGATCTTTAGTACATCTGAACATCTACTGTCATTTTTTATTTCATTTTTCCACAAAAAATCTTCATTGACTTTAGTTCAACGTGTTTGTTTTATTTGCCTTTTTTCTGTTAGTCAATAAATTACGTCACACTATTCTGTTGGTCTATTTCCCTTCAGAAACTCTTAACTATCCTTTATAATAGACAAAACTCATATGCGGACCTATCCGCCTTAAGAGTCATTCTTGCTTAATATTAGTTTCTTTCTCGTTACAAATACTGGTTGAAACCTAATTCTGTTAGTTACCCTGGGATAATGCTCCTGATTCTATTACTATTGCTTGATGAACTGAGAGAAACTGATCGACATGCAAAATCTCCACACCGTCATCAAGACATTTCTTATGGTATTATTTGGGAGAATTTATTGTTATTGGCAATTCTCCTCCCTCTGGTATTCTTTCAACTTCTTAACCTTGTAACGCCAAAGAAGTAAAAGTGCGCATGTACCGGAATTTATGATAAAGTTAGGGCTGATGGGGCCATTCAGATTCGCTTGATCATAAAATTTTGTTTCTCCGCAGTGAAGGGGATTATTTTATTCGTCGTAGTTGTCTCACATGCATGCCTTTGTTGATTAAGTAGTCACCATCTGTTTATCTTTGGCGGATTTTAATGTTTCTTTTTATCTCGTTATTCGCATTATTTTGTCGTATTTCGAGTTTCCGTTATGTCTGTGAAATAAGCTACAAAGTTTAACTCTTCAACACACGTATTGGCATCGAGGTCAGTTAAATCCAGAAAGCTTGTTACGCAGTCTCCTTGAATCATATTTAGTAAACACCTATATTTATTGTTATTGTTTGCTATTTGTCGGGAAAATTTTAATGGCGCAAGATAACCATGAAGTACCGGCTCTCAAAACTGATAAAACAGGCTCCGGTTAGTGTCAGTTCTTTGTTAACTCTGGGGTTCAACCGCCCTTATTAGTTCTTATCTCAATCTCTACTGATCCGCGCAAAAGATGAGTTGCTTTCTCTTCTGTGACCTTGACTGATAAGGAGTACAATCCTGTTGAAGGAACTTCAATAGCGCTTCCTAACTCCACACTGCATTGAGCCGGCACCTATAATCGTCACATTAATTAGTCGAGGAACTTTGCCCTAACGAGCCTCTCCGAGGTTTTGCCAACTTAAAAAGGGAAAAATAAAGCATTCCCTCCCTCAAGCCCATCTATGCAATGTTGTACCGCTGTTCGAGCTATCTGTAGAAAACAAGACAAACGCCCCAACTTTGAATGGAGGGAAGGATTGTGGATGTATTTTGTTCTGCAAAGTTACCCCTTTTGAGGACTACACTTGAGTTGCCGATTGTAGGTTGTGAATAGACAGATCATGAGTAGATTAAATCGCTAGTTTAATTCTTTGTATTGACTCGGCTCTCACATGCTCATTTAACTCCTTATCTATGTCGCTTTTAATCTCACAAATGCGACTTGCAATTGTTTTCTTTCCTGACCTTGACTAATAAGAGGAACAACCCCAACTGAGACCTCACCGTACCACCTGTGCGGTATTTTTGACTTTTTAAATCTTTTTACAGACTTTTGCATTATCTGCAAGCTTCCCTTGTGCAGTTGGCGCGACTGCCAGAGTCATTTCTGAAAACACGCAGTTGTTACTTTCGAGTTAGACTACACACTGTTCGTCGATTTTGTCACATGGTCCTCGTTGTTTTTTAGCACTTCACGAAATACCTTATTGGAATTTTTATTGTGATACACTTGCCAGTAAAGTAATGAAGTGTTGTTTTCCGAAGTTCCCATTGCTAGTTCCAAGCACCAAACAGCCATTTTCGGAAAAATGTAAACTTTTTACAGGAAAGACACAACAGTAGTTTCCTTAGTTTGCGGAAAAAGAGCCCGTCTAGGATGGACGAGGATTAAGATTAAGAAATAAAACGTCTCAGCCGTTATTTTGTCTCAGTAGATTTACATTTCTTTCCTCTCATCAATTTTGGCGGTCAGTTTTATCTTGGTTTTAAAATGATAACACATTTTCTGGCAAAACTCACAAAGACAAGGGTCTCAATAGAAACCGCCCGCCTTGAAGGGGCTATGGCACTTTAAGGTCAAAATTTGAATTCTCATTTGTTACCCCTATTCATTTCCTACAGAAGTAGTGGGAGAAGTTGATAAAATATCAAGCACATTCATCTTGTGTGATCATGTCCGAGATTCTCATGATCACTCGGTTTTACAAAGCATTAATATTACAAGGAGAAATTTGATGCTGATCACTCTTAGGGCTTAAAGGGTTAAACAGCTAAAACGTGTCTTCGCACCAGTTGAATTGTAAAACATATTCAGGGGCACCCAACGTCAATTTTCGGAAAATATCTGTTCGGAACACGATTTGAGAGCTAGAATTTTGGGAACATTTATTGGAAATTTCTTGCTTGCCTGCCTCTCCTAGGATTTTCGAACATCTAAAAACTACTGTAACTGCCCATTTTTAACGGATTTTTACCCTGAAAAGGTCACTTGGAATTTCTGGCTGAAAAATTCGAAAAGGTAAGTTTTGATCCCTATAATTTTCGGATCACTAGACTTTCAGCTAGGAAATCCGAACAGGACAGGCGTGGTCTGAATTTTAAATAAGCTGGGCCGACGTTTTGTATCGTTTTGCTTGCAAAAATCACAAAAAAATATTATGGTTCGTTCCCGGGGGGGCTACTTGGGTTAATTTTTGCTGGGTATGTGCCGCTGGCCTCTCAGAGCCCCTACCCAATTATAGTCTATTCTGTGGCCAATTAGTAGACCCCATATTTGTCACTCTTGGGAAAATATGTAATTTTTGCGATCCCAACTCAGTCACTTTCTTTTTATGTATCTACCTTATATCAAATGAAGAACACTCTACTTTTCACCAACAGTAAAAACATTCTGGCACGTTTACTAACTGCTAATATGAAGAACTGTCTTACCCCAAAAATCAGAAAATGTGCGACCCCATTCTAGTAACTCTATTGAAAATGCGACCCCATTTTTGTCACTCCAGTCATGAAAATGCGACCTCATCCAGTGGCACATCCCCATTAGCCTTTTATAAGGAAGGACCCCCCCCCCGGAGTTAGTTTTGTTTGTCTTCTTAGCCTGTTTTGTGTGTGGGTAAAGATACTAAGTAATGACTTCAGCACAGAATTGACCTCAAACAGCAATATCCTTCTGACATAGGCCTTTTAAAAGGAGCTCATCATTTCGAAAAAAACATGGAAGTTAACGACGTAAGTTGCTGACACTTGTAGCTGTTGAATCTTGTCTTGAATTGCTATTGCCTCAGGGAACGTATGGTTTCCATACTACACGCGGTCACAAGCCATCATCGCGCAGTGACACTTATTAATCATCTCGGCTTGTTTGACCCTTAAATCATAATTAGGATGTGTTTTCATAACTGAATGTCTTGTTTTCAAAAACATTAATTTACAAGAGGACTATTAACAAAGCAAACAATCCACCTTTCAGCGGGAAAACTTGACGGTGTAGTGAATTCTCTTGCGGAAATTGGTCGTTTGGAATAGATTCAAGAGGATTGCGAATCGGATGAACTCCTGTAAATGACGCCGTAGATTGCATTCCGAAACCCTTTGAGTAGTTAGATGGGGTTGAACCTTTCTTCCGTGGTTAAACATCCCGTAGTGTGACCATTAAGAGCGTCTCTGCCGCTGGTTTTCCAGCTTTCCCGAAAATTAGTTAAAGTTAAGCAGGAAAGGTGTTTTTCGCTTCTCTTGCACATTGAAAGTTAAGCCGTGCGATAAAGTTTATGATTGGCTAATGACGGAAGGCTTGAGCTAAGCGCAGCAATCAAATTCTTATCTGCGTGTCTTGCCATCCAGCCAACTCTCAAAGCCGCAGATATCAAATTAATGACAAATCTTTTTCTCAAGCTGCTGTGAAACAGTGCGATATATGCCTCCAACTGATGAATAATGGCCGGCTCCATATACCCCAGCGTACACTGATTTATCCAGGGGTCTTATTTTGGATCATTGTAATCCGTACAGATACCTTGCCTACTTCCGTAGGACACTCGGCTTTTGATGTGCGGTTTAAACTAATTTTGCTCCAGTCTCGTTCAAAATGGCTAAAGTTTATATTGGATTACATTTTGCTGTCTTCCTTGCCGGCGGCTAATTCCGCACGTACACGGAACTTAGTTTTATAAACACGAATGCCTAATACCGTTGTTTTCTTCTCAAAGTGTTAAGTTTGAACCACAGGTGAAAGGGAAAATAATCCTATTCCTATCTCTCTAAGGAATACTTTGACCATATCTAGTTTTTACTTACCAAAACAAACTGGTCACTAGTATTGCGTGCCGTTACTAAAGAGATATATGCATAGTGCAGATTGTTTCCTCTTGAGTCACTCAATTAGCCAGACTTACTCGCCCCAATGTGATCCTTGCGGTCGGAGGAATATTTTTTTCATATTGGGAAATTAGCTAGATTCTTGATTCCTTCACGTTCAAGACCAAGAATAGAACTCTTTAAAACATCCGATTGTAAAAAATGCGCGCAGATTCAGTTGCAGGTCGGGCCGGACGGATCTGACATAATAGTGCTATAGCATACTGACGTCCGATGATTTTCTACTGCCTTAATTAGTTTACGATGAAACGAAATAATGAAATATTAAGTAAACAAATAAACAATATCAAAAACAAGGTACTCGAACCGGCTTAGCATTTTTGATGGAGTTAGTGTATAGTCATGAGTACATCCTACATTGAACTTTAATTTCGTCAAACTAAATCATCTGACTCTGGAATGATTTAAAACCTCAAAACTTCAAAGGAGTATTTCCTGTCTAAAACTTTGA